ACCACAGGCAGAGGATTAGCCTACTGAGCTGCGGCGCCGGCCATGGCTGCTGTACTTACTACCCAGCTCCTTGCTGATGCACCTGGGAAGACGATGGAAGATGGCCCAAGTACTTGAGCCCTTGCCACCCACATGGGAGACTCAGGTGGAGTTCCTTGCTCCCAGCTGCAGCCTGGCCTAGCCCTGTCTGTTGCAGCCATCTGGGGAGTGAACCAGTGGATGGAAGATCCTTCTCTCTCTCCTCCCCCTCCCCAATCCCTCCCTTACTCTCCCTATCAAATAAATCTTAAACAAACAAAAAGACTTTCAATGACATGTTGAAGAGAGTGACATCAAGTGAGTATCACCTAGGGTTGTATTTAGCTGTGTATAAATGAAAACCCCAATGGCCGGCGCCGTGGCTCACTAGGCTAATCCTCCGCCTAGCGGCGCCGGCACACCGGGTTCTAGTCCCGGTCGGGGCGCCGGATTCTGTCCCAGTTGCCCCTCTTCCAGGCCAGCCCTCTGCTGTGGCCAGGGAGTGCAGTGGAGGATGGCCCAGGTGCTCGGGCCCTGCACCCCATGGGAGACCAGGAAAAGCACCTGGCTCCTGGCTCCTGCCATCGGATCAGCGCGGTGCGCCGGCCGCAGCGCGCCGGCCGCGGCGGCCATTGGAGGGTGAACCAACGGCAAAAAGGAAGACCTTTCTCTCTGTCTCTCTCTCTCTCTCACTATCCACTCTGCCTGTCAAAAAATAAAAATAAAAATAAAAAAAAAAAAAATAAATGAAAACCCCAATGGCAGGGGTTTGCTTTTTGCATGTAGCATGAAGCTCAGCTTCGCACAGCCTTTATCCTAAGGCATCTTGTGTTTCTGCTTGAGCATCCTTGAACTTTTGTGCTTAAAGAAAACCACCGTAGCTCTCGCCGTTTCACCATGTTTTAGGCGAGAAGAACGGAGTACAAGGAAGAAAAGGAAGTATCTATATTGGGAAAGAAAAAATTTCCCAGAAATCCCCACAAACTTTTGTTAGTCTGTTGTTGGCAAGAGTTGTGACATACTCTAGCTGCGAGAGAGTAAGAAGTGTAGTTTCTCAGCTGAGCAGCTGTTGCTCGGAAGAAATTGGGATTTTTGGTATAAGGAAGTAGGGCAGAATGCTGTGTATCTGCCACATGCTGTTCTTGTGTTTTCCTGACTCTACGATAGTGTTTTTCATACTTTATAACTTAAGTAAGATGTATACTCTTGAAGTTGGAAAATTCTTCTTACTAGATTTTGCAGGTTCTTTTCAGTTTCTTTTTCTAAACATTTATTTTTATTCATTTTTTTTTAAAGATTTATTTATCTTTTTTGAAAGAGTTAGAGACGGGTAGAGACAGAGAGAGCTTTCATCCACTGGTTCACTCCCCATTGGCTGGCTGCAATTGCCAGCACTGGGCCAGGCTGAAGCCAGGAGCTTCATCCAGGTCTCCCACCTGGGTAGCACGGGCCCAGGTTTGGGCCATCTTCTGCTGCTTTCCCAGGCCGTTAGCAAGCAGCTGGATAGGAAGTGGAGCAGCCAGGGCTCAAACCAGTGCCCACATGGGATGCCTGTGTCAAAGGCGGAGACTTCACCTCTACGCCACATCATGGGCCCCACTTCAGTATATTTTAGCTACTCACAGATGCAGCCATCACCACAACCAATTTCAGAACTTTTTGAAACTTTGTGCCCATTACCAGTCATTTCCTCCCACGGCCTCATTCCCTGTGTACCCCCACCTCCTAGGAAGCACTGTGCTGTGTGTCTGGCGTTACCTCTTCTGGACAGTTCCTGTGCATGGAATCATGGTCTCTGTAGTCTTTGCTGACTGCCTTCTTTCAGGCAGCCTGGCGCCTTCAAGCTTCATTCATGTTGTAACATGTATCAGTGTCTTTTTAAAGCAGGAAAACTTGTAACAAATTAACTTCCTTGATTTTAGTTTAGTGTAGTTAGCCCTCCTCTCTGCAAGAAGCACCACCCTGAGTTCTGGAGTGACAATTAGGAGAGTTGTGTTTCTGCCTTCAGCTTGGGTGGCTGACGTGCCCCGTATCCATTCTTGTCTTTCATGTACTCTCTTCCCTTGTCACCCAGCACTGAAAATTATGACAGCCTGCGTTTCTTCCCTAGAGGCTGCGCTGGGTATTTCGCATTGTAATTGTTACAGGCTTTCCTCACATCCACCCTGGCGAGGAGAACCTGCTTTTCAGTAGTGGAAGCTGCTGTGTCCATCATATGGATCAGGAAGCTGGGATATGCATGACAACAACTGTCCCAAGGACACACAGCTTTCTATTTGGGACTGTTTGATTCCACTGCTGTGCCCCACCCCATTGAGATATAATTCATATACCAAAAGTCCACATTCAGCAATTTTTAGTATATTCACAAGGTTGTACAACTGTTTCTGCTCTCTGATTCTAGAACGTTTCATCACCCCAATGTGAGGCCTTGCACCCATTAGCAGTCACTCCCTTCTCCCTTTCCTGTAGGCCCTGGCAATCACTAGTCTCCCGTCTGCCTCTACAGATCTGCCTGTTCTGGACACCCCATGTAAATAGGATACAGTATGTGGCCTTTGTATCTGCCTTCTTTCATTCAGCAGATTATTTTCAAGGTTCTTCCATGTTGTAACCTGTGTTGGTGCTTCAGCCCTCTGTGGGGGGAGACTGTTCTGTTGTGTGGACAGTCTTCTGTTGACTGACATTCGGGTGGTTTCTGCCATTTGGGTGACTGTGTTCAGTTCTTTGGGGAACATCCCCAGGGGTGGAATTGCTGAGTCACATGACTTTCTGAGGGACCACCGGACCATGTTGCATTCCTGCCAGCATGTAGTGGAGTTCTGATTTCTTTACATCTTTCCCAATACTTGTGATTTTTCTTGTTTGTTAGAAAGTATTATTTTAATTGACAAATCATAATTGTATAGGTTTATGGAGTCTAGTGTGATATTTTGAAACATAAACATAATATATAATGATTGAACCAATTAACAGATCCACCTCCTTGTATCATTTTGTGTGATAAGACATTTGAAATGTATTCTTGTAGTTGTTGGGAAATAATAGGATATATTATTGACTGCAGTCACTCTGCTAGGCAGTAAAACTCAACACTTATTCCTGTCTGCAACTTTGTACCCTTTGGCCAGCAACTTCGAAGCCCTCAGCATCTCCCCGCTGCCCTAGCCTGGTCTCTGGTAACCATCATTCTGATCTCTACTTGTGTGAGTTCAACTTCTTAAATTATTTGTTTACTGTTTTATTTGAATAGAGAGAGAGATCTCTTATCTGCTGGCTCATTGCCCAAAGGCCACTCTGTTCGTCTTTCTTCTCTGTCACAGTGCAAGCTTCTTAAGAAGTAGAAACTTGCTCTATTTTTGTTTGTATATCCCAGGTTGTCTGTCACAGTGCTCTGAAAGGCACCTGTGGGATATGAGTGAAAACCCAGCCTGGCACTGACAGAGTAAAGCCCCTGCTGGGGCAGAAGGACGAGGGAAGTTTGCCTTCTGTCTGTCTGCCCAGGAAGAACAGGAGGTTCTTGTGAACACACAGAGCTGCTGTGACGCCCATTTCCCACGTTCTGGGTGTTCCGCCTGGCGGGGCTCTGTGCCGGGCCCCGCAGCCTTCTTTCCAGTCCTGTGTTGTAGTGTTGAGGGAGGAGGCGCGCGTCCTTGCTGGCGTGACTGGCCACAAGGCACTTGATCTGGCTCAGGAGATGGTTTTCACTAGTGTTGCACCTTCCATTGACTCAAAATTAAATTTCACTCTGCAGGACGTGCGTAGCAAATAGAGGAATCAGAGTCAGCATTTGGATGTTTGGTATTGTGTTTTTTGTTTTTCAGTTAAACCCAGATGTGAATGTTTTCCAGCGGAAATTTGTGAATGAAGTGAGAAGATGTGAAGAAATGGACCGGAAGCTTCGTACGTGCATTTTATTATCGTGTGGTGTTCCCGTAGTGAATGACTTGTCTTAGAGAGATCAGACCTCTTAGTAAAGGAAGAGAAGACGAAAAAGAAGATGAAAAGAGGGACCATCTTGTGATTGTGATATTAAGAAGAAATTCTTGTAAGCAGATATGCGCTGTGGTGTTTGGGCCGGGCAGTGCACTTGATAGAAACTTTGTTTGAAACAACAGGCTGAAGACACTGTGATGTGTTTCCATGGGATTTAACTGTACTGCAGAATTCTAAGAGGTCGGACCAGAGCACTGTCAGCTGTAGTTGTCAGCAGTGATTCTATTTGAAAGGCAGAGTTACAGAGAGGGGGAGAAGTAGGTGGAGAAGGAGAGGAAGAGGGACGGGGGGGCTAGGTAGGTATCTTCTATCCACTGGTTCATTCCCCACATGGCTGCAATGGCCAGGGCTGGGCCAGGCTGAAGCCAGGAGCCAGGAGCTTCTTCCATGTCTCCCACATGAGTGCAGGGGCTCAAGGACTTGGGCCATCCTCTGCTGCTTTCCTAGGTGCATTAGCAGGGAGCTGGATCAAAAGTGGAGCAGCTGGGACTGGAACCAGCACCAGTTTGGGATGCTGGCACTGCAGGTGGTGGCCCAACCTATTATGCCACAGTGCTGGCCCAATTGTTTCTTTCTTCTCTTTTTTTTTTTTTTTTTAATTTTTTTTTAAGATTTATTTTATTTATTTTGAAAGCTGCAGAGAGAGGGGTGGATACAGAGAGAGCTTCCATCCACTGGTTCACTCCCCAAATGGCTGCAGTGGCCAGCATTGGGTCAGGCAGAAGCCAGGAGCTTCATCCAGGTCTTGCACATGGGTGGCAGAGCCCCAAACACCTGAGCTATCTTCTGCTGCTTTTCCAAGGCCATTAGCAGGGAACTGGATCAGAAGTGGAGCAGCCAGGACATGAATTGCTGCCCATATAGGATGCTGGCATTGCAGGGAGCAACTTTACCTGCTACCCTGCAGTGCTGGCCCTGAGAGCTATCTGGTTTGTTTTTTATTTTTATTTTTTTTGTTAACATCATGTATTTATTTTGGAAGTCAAAGTTGCAGAGGGAGGGAGAAACAAAGAGGTCTTCCATCTTCTAGTTTATCCCCCAGATGGCTGCAACAGCCAAGGCTGGGCCAGGCTGAAGCCAGGAGCCAGGAGCTTCTTCCAGGTCTCCCATGTGGGTAGCAGGGACCCAACACTTGGGCCATCCTCTACTGTTTTTCCCAAGCTACCAACAGGGAGTTGAATCAGAAATTGAACAGGGCTGGTGCTGTGACGTAGTGGGTAAGGCCGCCTCCTGCGATGCTGGCATTCCATGTGGGTGCCGGCTCGAGTCCTGGCTGCTTTTTCCACATCTGATCCAGCTCTATGCTTTGGCCTGGGAAAGCAGTAGAAGATGACCCAAATCCTTGGGCCCCTTCACTTGTGTTGGAGACCCAGAAGAGGCTCCTGGTTCCTGGCTCCTGGCTTCGGATCAGCGCAGCTCTGACCACTGCGGCCATCTGGGGAGTGAACCAGCAGATGAAAGACCTCTCTTTCTCTCTGCCTCTGCCTCTCTGTAGCTCTGCCTTTCAAGCAAGTGAATAAATCTTTTAAAAAAAGAAGAAGAAGAAGAAGTGGAGTGGCCAGGACTTGAACTGGCACCCTAATGCGATGCTGGCATCATAGGTGGCAACCTAATTTAGTGCACCAGGACACTGGCTCCCCCAGAGCTATCTTTTACTTGAGCTTTTATGAGGGAGGAAACTGCCGTTCATTAAGGCCGGGTCAGTTGCTTGTAGACCTGAGCATTCCCTGAAGAATGCGGGTGCTATCATTTATTAATTGTGGAAACTGAATATCCCAGAGGTTCAGTGATGCCCAGGAGGTTGAACAGTCGTGATGGAATCAGAGTTTGAAGCTGGCTATTTTGTCTGGCTCCCACACTCCTGACCTTGCCACTCTGCTAAGCCAGCTTCCAGTTAGCTCATAGTGAATTTGGCCCCCACCTGAAACACATTTCTCTTTGGCATTCTCAGTGTGAGTGTGTTCAAGATTTGTTTGTTTTTACTTGAAAGAGTTATAGAGACACAGGGAGAGATAGAGATCTTTCCATCCACTGGCTCACTCTCCAAATGGTCACAATAGTCAGGACTGGGCCACATTGAAGCCAGGAGGCTGGAACTCCATCCAGGTCTCTCACTTGGGTGGCAGGGGCCCAGGCCCTTGTACCCTTTTTTGCTGCCTTCCCAAGCACATTAGCAGGGAGCTAGATTGGAAGCAGAGCAGCCGGCAGCCAAGACTCAAGCTGGCGCTCATATGGAATCCAGGTATCACAGGTGGTGGCTTAACCTGCTGTGCCACAACCCTGCTCCCTGCTCCCTGATGTTTTGTTATATTTTTAAAATAGAACGAGCTACCTCCCATCTGTTGGTCCCTCTTCAAATGCCTGCAATGGCCAAAACGGGAAGCCAGGAACTTAATGTGGCTCTCGCACATGGGCAGCAGGGACCCAGCCACCTGAGCCAGCAGCCTCTGAGAATGCACAGTAACAGGAATGTGGAATCGGGAGTACAGCTGAGACTCAAACCCAGGCACCATGATACGGACGCTGGTGTTCCAACTAGAGTCTTAACTGCTAGGCCACGTGCTTTTCCCTTTTCTGGTATTTGGAATCCTTGTTCCATGAGTCTCTCTTTCATTTTAAATATCCTGTTGAACTGCACTCTTTGGTAGCTCTGCTTCGCCGACGGTATCCGGAACTAGCGCCGTCGTGGTTTGGGGTGGCAGCTGCAGAGGGTGGAGAGCTGGAGCAGAAGAGGGAAGGAAGGCAGCTGAGGTGGCCACTGTGGCTTTAGAAAGTGTGAGGCAGGAGAAGGGGCAGTGTGGGGGAGGGGCGGCGTGGGGGAGGGGCAAGGTGCTGCTTTTATCTGAAAGTTCTGTCCTAGACTCGCACTGTGAGGCACAGAGAACTGCCATGAATGCTCTGCTTCTGTCCTTTCAGGATTTGTTGAGAAAGAAATAAGGAAAGCTAACATCCCGATCCTGGACACTGGAGAGAACCCTGAGGTGCCCTTCCCCAGGGACATGATTGACCTGGAGGTAATGGGGCTTCTGGGAAGGCAGACGTTCCTTAGCTGAGTGGGTGGAAGGTAGAGGGATTCTCGCTGCACTGCCAGCTTTGTCAGTTAATTCCAGGTTTTCATAGGGGGATTGAAGTGAGTTCTCTTTTTTATGTCAAACAGTATCTCAGAGAGTATCATATTGATTTATTGAAACTTACTGGATAAATGTCTATCTAGTAGTGACTAATCTCACAGACAAATGAATAGCCAGTGGGTTTTTTGGTCATTATTTTACCCATTTGAAATCTCCTTAGAAGTTTACCACATTCACAGAAGAATCTACAGATGAAGCAATACTGTTTTTTTTTTTTTTCAAAGATTTTATTTATTTATTTGAGAGGTAGAGCTGTAGACAGAGGGAGAGACAGAGGGGTCTTGTCTCTGCTGGTTCACTCCCCAAATGGCTCCAACAGCTGGAACTGGGCCAATCCGAAGCCAGGAGCCAAGAGCTTCCTCTAGGTCTCCCATGCGGGTACAGGGGCAAAAGGACTTGATCCGTCTTCCACTGCTTTCCCAGGCCATGGGCAAAGACCTGGATCAGAGAAGGAGCAGCTGGGACTTGAACTGGTGCCCTTATGGGATGCAGCACTGCTGGCAGAGGCTTAGCCTACTATGCCACAGCTCCAGCCCCGAAGCAAGACTCTTTTAGTAAGAAGTTTTCATGCAAAAAATTACTGTCAGAAGCACAGCCTTTGCTGGGTAGTGTAGCATCTTTGAACTGTCAGTAAGGTAACAGTGCAGTGGGAGGGGTTCAGTTTACATCTCTTGGAGCAGGCATATTGTGCTTAGTTTGAACTCATCGATTTCCTTTCTTCCTCTAGGCCAATTTTGAGAAGATTGAAAATGAACTGAAAGAAATCAACACAAACCAGGAAGCTCTGAAGAGAAACTTCCTGGAATTGACTGAATTAAAATTTATACTTCGAAAAACCCAGCAGTTTTTTGATGAGGTCAGACTATTGTTTCTTTTGGTATTTGAGTAGTTGATAGATATTGCTCCCGCACAAGTGGGCCATATTTTTATTCCAGTAATTAATTTTAATTTGCTACTTTGGAAGCAGTACCATTTTTGCACCCTGTTTTAGTTGAAGAATTTTCAGATTATGTTCCATTTTTCATGCAGTACATAGCCAGCCCATGGTTTTGTACATTTTCATGTTTTCTGCAAGTTTTCATCTCAAGATGGGGAAAGAAACCCTAAAGTTCTTGTATAAATATAGCGAAAATATTTCCATTATACTCACCCTTCTGTGTTATAAGGTAAGTATATGCTTATGGTTAAAGCTGAAGTAACAAACGTTTGGTTATTCACAAAATCCTAACAAAAGTTTAATCTCCAGACCTTTTGTCATCAAATTTTTATTTTTATGTTATTCTCTGTGTTTATCAACCCTTGGGCACATTTTCCAGAACTTTGGATAGCACATGTCACACAGAGTTTTCCAGAAGTTCTCATTGTCATATGGAACTATTGATAGGATTTTTGGATTTTTTTTTTTTATTTGAAAGAGTTACAGAGAGAGGTAGAGGCAGAGAGAGAGGTCTTCCATCTGCTGGTTCACTCCCCAGATGGCCGCAACAGCCGGAGCTGCGCCGAAGCCAGGAGCCAGGAGGTTCTTCCAGGTCTCCCACGCAGGTGCAATGGCCCAAGGACTTGCGCTGTCTTCTACTGCTATTCCAGGCCACAGCAGAGAGCTGGATCAAAAGAGGAGCAGCTAGGACTAGAACCAGCCCCCATATGGGATGCTGGTGCTTCAGACCAGGGCTTTAACCTGCTGTACCACAGCGCCGGCCCTGGACTTTTGGATTTTCACATAAAAACAACTGCACTACCTTTTAAGGATAAATGTTACTAAGCTCCTGAGTCAAAAATGCAGGTGGCTTAAATTGCCCAGTGACAGCTTGCTGGGGTGACCCCTTGGAAAGGGTTTGACAGCAAGCTTGCAGAAGGCTTCCTTCTAGTTAAACCCCAGAAGGAGTCTTAGCTTGTACCCTGGGTATTGCTTTTCCATTGGCCTAAAAGCAATATTTTTAGGCCACTCTGTTTTTGTCAGATGTCTGCCCACAGATTAGTGATTTTTACATGTGAGAGATTGTTCTAGTCACTGTCTAGTCTTCTCAGAAAGTTCTTTATTTCCTTTACTCAGCAACAAACTTGGCAGAACTTTTAAATACAGAAGGCCCATTTACTTAGCATCTGATGTGTTCTCAGTTTTAATTTCTGTCTTGAGAAGAGCCCAGTTCTCCATGGTTCTCTAGGCTGGAGGAAGGCTTCTCCACCCAGCAGCTGAAGCCTCACTCAGGCCCTTGCTAGAAATGCACCTGCCGAATCAGACACCCTTGGTGTCTCACCCAGCAGTCTGAACAAGGGGATTCTGAGGAGTGCTAGTGAGAAAAGCAGTAGGTGAGGGAGAGTCTGCTGGCGCTGTGACACATTCCGCAGGAGGTAGGGATTTGGCTTGGAAATGCCATGCTAATTAAACCGATCAGCTGGTGCTCCTGTGAACTTAATCACCGGGTCAACCCAAGGATCAGAATTTTGTCATACGTCAGAGATTTGCTGTGCACACTCAGCTTGCTCATTGCGGGGGGAACTTTGAGACTGGTGCTAACTTCCTTCACCAGTCCCGGAGGCTCCCCGCACTGGGGTCGTGGGACAGTGTGATCGACTCTTCAAGTGTTTCAGGTCTTTTGCCACAGGCATGGCTGTGTATGCCGTGTGTTTTAATGAACAGATAACTTGCAGTTCCAGTGTGCTCACTGCCTGAATGTCACTGTATTTTTGCTCATTGAGTCCCTCGTAGAATGACACTTGCTCTCTGTGAGGCACAGGCTGGCTGAGATGTGATCTGTGCATCCAGGACTGTGTCGTTCAGTCACATGGCACACGTCCCTGAGCACGGTGCCTCTGCACGCTCACAGATGTGCATTTGTGCATTTTCTTTCTTTCTTTCTTCTTGTTCTTTTTTTTTTTTTTTGAAAGATTTATTTATTTATTTGAAAAGCAGAGTTACAGGAAGAGAGAGAGGCGAGATCTTTCATCCACTGGTTCACTCCATGGATGGCTGCAATGGTCAGGGCTGGGCCAGGCCGGAGCCAGGAGCCCAGAGTTTCATTTTAGTCTCCCACATGGGTGTCAGGGGCTGAAACACTTGGGCCATCTTCTGCCGCTTTCCCAGGCCGAAAGAGGAGAGCTGGATTGGAAGTGGAGCAGCCAAGACACAAACCAGCGCCCATATGGGATGCCAGGGCCACAGGTGGCAGTTTTACCCACAGTCCCGTACCACTGGCCCCAGATGTTGGTTTTCTAAATGTGCCCAAGCTGCTGCCTGCAGATCTAATGTAAACCCAGCCTCTTGCTCAAAGTTCAGCTACTTTTGGCATCATTTGAAGCTTCTTTCAACATATATATATATATATATATATATACACACACACACATATATATGCATACATACATATATATTTTATGTGTATATATATATATTACAGAGATGCAGAGGCAGAGAAAGAGAGAGAGAGGGAGAGAGAGGGGTCCTCCATCCACCGGCCCATTCTGCAGATGGCCACAACGGCCAAAGCTATGCTGATCCAAAGCCAGGAGCCAGGAGTTTCTTCTGGGTCTCCCTCGTGGGTTCAGAGGCCCAACGACGTGGACCATCCTCTGCTGCTTTCCCAGGCCACAGCAGAGAGCTGGATCAGAAGTGGAGCAGCAGGGAGTTGAACTGGTACCCATATGTGGTGCACTGCAAGTGCCAACTCTATCCACTATGCCATAGTGCCAGTTCCCCATATCTGTATTTTAAAAGCCCTTTAGGGGCCGGCGCTGTGCTATAGTGGGTAAAGCTGCCACCTGCAGTGCCGGCATCCCATATGGGCACTGGTTCAAGTCCCTGCTGCTCCACTTTCAGTCCAGCTCTGCTATGGCCTGGGAAAGCAGTACAAGATGGCCCAGGTCCTTGGACCCCTGCATCCGTGTGGGAGACCCAGAAGAAGCTCCTGGCTCCTGGCTTCAGATTGGCTCAGCTTTGACCATTGTGACCATCTGGGGAGTGAACCAGCAGATGGAATCTCTCTATACCTCTGCCTCTGCCTCTGCCTCTCTGTAGCTCCTCCTTTCAACTAAATAAATATATCTTAAAAAAGAAAAAACCCTTTGGTTCCCTGTGGAGATCTTACTGTGAAAATATGAATGAATCTTTTGTGACCTCCCAGTTGGAGGATTTGGGTGAGCCTCGTACTCTTGTTCATTTTTGGAGAAATTCTAAATGAAGACTGACAAGTGGACTCTCTTCAGTGAAAGAGCTCTTTAAACTATGATTTTTAAATTAAATAAAGTAAAAATAAAATAAGAGGAACCACTTGGAAAGATGATACACAATTTTAAAGTTGTAGGTTATGGGTGTAGGCATTTTATTTTGAGATGAATGGGTCTTCAGAGGCAGAGTCTGAGTCTCTGAGTTTTATGCCCCATCCGTGGTGGACTGTTTTTCTCCTCATTTTTTTGTGAAGCAATTTTTTTTTTTTCTGATCTCTGGAAGTGTGGGTGCTCTGAGCACAGACCCTGGGCTGTGAGAGCTGCCTTTGTCTTCCTGGCACGGTCAGAGCCCTGCGGGAAGCGCGCTGGTGAGAGCCACTCCGCTTTTTCTCTCCACGTGCCCTGGCAGCCCCTTGCCCGCCCTTGTACTGACCCGGGACTCAGCCAGGGAGCCATGCATGCACCTGGCCCTGCTGCTGCAGAACAGCTGTCTCTGGTGTCGCTGCCATGACTGGAGGTGATTGCACCTGCCTGTGTGTGTGCACGGAATATGGGGAAACCGGAGATGCTCAAATATCTGAAACTCGGGGGTTTTCATGTAATTTTTTTTCCATGTCTGAAGTTGTAATGTTTGCAAATGGCCTAAAACACTACCAATTTTAAACTTATCTTCTTTCTTCTAGTTTGGTGAATATAATCAATAATTCAGAATAACGAATCAGCAGGAAATGGCTAATTCTGAAAATGATTCTTTCCATGTGTAGGCATAGGGGTTGTGATTGGCAGGGTGTATGGAAGGGGAAAAGTAAACAGATATTGAATACTCTTGTGATGTCAGATGATTGCAGAGTCCTGCGTAGCCAATTATGCAGAGCATTTAAATTGACATGTTAATGATTATCCTTTTCTCAGTCTTCTTGCTTATGAAGAGCTGTAAGAGCTGGAGAGATTTCTCTGCATCTTTTACCATAAGCACCATAACATATGAGAGCGTAAAGAAGACTGGAAAAGTAATGGTTAATGGCATGCAGCTCCCCGCCTTCCTTTCCTTCTGAGTTTTCCATCCATCTGCTTTCTTTGTTTTTCTTTCCCATCTGCCATCTTCGTTGGGGCTTGGGTGAGCAATTTCTTTCTCGCAGTAGATGGAAGGTGAAAGCGTTTGCTCTTGGTAAGGGGTCCAGCTTGACTGGGTGTGCTGCCTGGACTCAGAGGCGGTGAGGCAGGACTCGGTGAGGCTGCTTCCTTTCCGCAGGGCCTGGGGGCAGTGTCTGAACGAGGCAGGGGCCGGAGGCGCAGCAGGTGATTCGGAGGAGTGCGGCCAGTGCTGGGTTGCCGTTAGAGAATTCAGTCTCTGAGAGGAGATACCGAGACTCAGCAACCGGGCAGCAGGCGCTGCCTTCAACCCCTCCATTAGTGGCTCTGCCATCCTAGCTTCCTGTTGGACACAAGTCCTTAAAAACTCGTAACTTCTCTAAGACTCGAGATTCTCAAGTCTGAAGTAGGGAAATTGGCAGTTAGAATGTTATGGAAGCTTCTGTTCCATTTCATTTCTGTTTTTTCTTCTCAGAGAGCCCTCGATCCATTTTTGGAGTGGTGTGCTTGCTGAGCGCTGTTTGCTGTTCCCCCAGTTGTCCCCATTAGAGCACCTGTGTTTGCACTGAGTCAGATGTTTAGGGTGTGAAGTAGGTGTTGTGCCCGAGGCAGGCGGTGGGGTGGGGGTGGGGGGGCAGCCCGTTTAGCTGGTTTTTGTCGAAGTGCAAACATGTTGAAATGCTGTAGCCATCTGGATCCTCAGAAAAACTGCTCGGTCAGCTGATGGGATTTCCAGTAGGAACAGAAAGAAGCCCCTAAACTTTTGTGTGGCGCAGGCAGGAACCAGCCTCCCCACTATGCCACCCCTAAGTTTTTCACATCTCGTACAGTATTTCTCTGCCCTTGGGGTGTCCATCGCTGCCACCCCTGCCCCCTTTTCCTTTTGTCAGTGTTCATCCTCACTTCCCAAGACGATCGCTTTCACTTCTTTAGCACTTCGGACTGAGTGATTTGCACTCTTACATGTGGGTCCTGCAGCTTTATCCAGTGAGTTCCCAAGTGACTTTTATGATAGTGTGATTGATAGGAATAGAATTAAATTGAAATTTGGCATGAAAATGGTAGAGAACAATTCTGTCGACTTTTTTTTTGCTTTTGAAAGAGAAGGTTGTTGTGGCTTCTAGCTCTCGGTCAGACAGGCAGCCCGTGGATGTCCAAGGCGGGAGCTCAGGTGGTGGAGTTGACTGGACTCCGTCCTCAGAGCAGCATCTGCTTTCTCGTGGGAGGAGAGGAGCGAGGCAGAGAGTGGTCAGGGTGGAGGCCTCTCCTCCGCAATGGCCCTGTATAAACTGTCACGGTGGAAGTCATTCTAAGCCCAGCCAATCAGACCAGCCGCCGGGCTCCAGCTTGGCTTCCGCTCCATTGCCTTTTCTTCACTGGACTCCAGGCATGTCCTAGGGAACCCGCCAGCTGCAAAGCCCGTGCGCCCTTCCTCTCCCTGGACCCAGTCAGGCGCTCTTCTCTGCCTCCAGGATGCGGCGCAGGCCCAGGCCCGCCCAGCTGTCGTTGCTTCCTGTGCTTTAAGTCCCGCTGTTGGGGGCATTTTGTGTGTGGCCGTGCTGCGGATTCTCATATTCTGAACCTTTAAAGGCCTGGCAGACCTAGGCCCTGGAGGTGCCCCTGTGTGTTTCTCAGATCATGCTGAGTCCTGGGGATTGTGCCTTGCTTTTTGCCCAGAAAGGGGCTTTGTCTCTACTTCTCACACAGGAAAAAGTCTAATTTGCAGCTGCCTGGGAATTAAACTCTAGAGCATTTGCAGAGCTGCTTCCGTTGTGCTGAGAAGGGAGCTTCCCATCCCAGGCGAAGGTGTGTCCTGGTTCCCGTGGGTGGTTCAGGAGAGAGGATGGCTTCCACAGGCGACAGGTTTATACATGTCACCGTCACTTACTGTTTTTGCTTTTGTTCCTTATTTCTAAAACCATTTCCCCAGATGCTTTCCTGGGGCAGTTATGCTTTCTTTACCTCATATGTATCTCTTGGTTTTCTTCCACTTCTTGTCTTCTTTTTGTGGGTGTGTCTTATCTTTTGGTGGTTTGGTTTTCCTTTCCATCTTTATTTTCTGAACCTGTCTCCTGGTTCCTCGTTCCCTGCATGCCACTAACTATTTTCATTAGATATTAATTGATTTGTGAATTCAGGCTGAATTGCATCATCAGCAGATGGCGGATCCAGACCTGTTGGAAGAATCCTCATCCCTCTTGGAGCCAAGCGAGATGGGACGAGGCACACCTCTGAGACTCGGGTAAGGATGGCATCCCTCTGCCCACTTTTGGGGGTCATGTCCACCTTTGCTATTTCAAAGAGCAGTGGGGCTGGGGGCTCACTCTCTCCTGAACCTGTTGAGAGCTGTTGCTCAGGCTGTGTACTCTGCTCCTAAACTGTCTGTCAGTCTTCTGATGGGTCCAGGAGAGAGGTCAGGAATAAGGCTTTGGCAGCTCTTTTGACATAACAACCCATCACCTCATCTGTGTAGTCTTCGCCCCTTTCTGCTCGCCTTCTGTTTGTCTTAAAATCAACCCTCCATCAACATGGGGCAGAGTTCCCAACCTGGCTCTCCTCCCCGCAGCTTCGTGGCTGGTGTGATTAACCGGGAGCGCATCCCGACTTTCGAGCGCATGCTGTGGCGGGTGTGCCGGGGCAACGTGTTCCTGCGCCAGGCCGAGATCGAGAGCCCCCTGGAGGACCCTGTGACTGTAAGACGAGGAGGTTGCCCCCTGTGGAGTGGGCCTCGCAGAGGGAGCCCTGAGCAGGAGCACGGCCGAGTGCCTCCCGAGTCAGACCCTTCCGCAGAGGGGCCCTTGCCTTTATCCCCGCTTTGAGCTTGGGACTTGGCCTTGCCTTTCCTCTAACTCAGTGCCCATCATGTTTACCGACACCGGATCCGTGTTTACCCACATCATATATGTGGCAAACACTCCCCAGGCTCATCCCATGTGGTTATTCTTTTCCTTGGAAATGTGTTTCTCCCACTTATTTTATACTATTACTTTGTGCATTTTCTACTACTGATCTGGGACTAAAAGAAGATATGCCTTTTATGAAAATTAAAATAAGATACGTGGTTTCAAAGTTGGTAATATCCAGTTCTCAAAACTGATTTTTTTATAAGCTAGTAAAATCCTGATACTTGTTAAGGGTTTGTTTCTGGTCTTCATTGGGAGAATCAAAACTGAGTTTAAGAATAGATATTGTGTGAGATAGGACAATCCTCCCAACCAGTGCTTTGGCAAGTGGGAGCAGCTTAGCATGCTGTTTTTGCATGCATTTGAGTTTATAACCTGAATGCTTCTACACGAGTGTGGTGAGTCCTGATTTCAGGGGTTACAAAGCAAAGATTGTGTACTGCAAACACTTTACTTGTCTTTGTTTTTTCCATCTTTAGAAACCTGGAGTTGGTTTTTCTGTTCTAGTTCATGTTGTAGATTTCTTACATTTGTAGTCTTTGCTCTACCTAAGAAGAGAGATTGAGCTGTGAGACATCTCAGGGTGGGTCCTGCAGCTCTGGCTTTTACCTTCTGCAGGCCAAGGGGTGCGTGGCTGTCAGGGAGGTGAGCTCCCTTCCTAGGGGCGTGGTTACACAGTCTGACCGAGGCTATCAGGTTATGGAAAACACTGTCATCTGCTGTCACACCTGATGTCAAGTTGTTCTTGGGAACGTGCAGGCAGACTTCCTCTTGGCAACAGAAAGATTCTTATCAACAAATGCAGGAAAGGGGCCTTGATGCCTGTCGCAGAGCAGCTGCACAGAGAATGGGCCCTCGCTTAGCCCCGGCAGTGGAGGGATGTCAGATTCCGCTAGCTTAACTTCCTTCCCTCCCCGTCTTTTATCCTTCTGAAGTTTTGTTTGTATTCTTATTATAAAAATCAGCCAGTGCCCTGTACAGATAGGAGAAAATACAGGCACCAGAGACAGCCCTGGTTAACATCCCACGGGCCTTATTTTTCCTGACCCCGCCTTCTAGTGCTTGCATCATGCCTCTGAGTCCTGGGTCCCCAGTAGGAATGGCTTCCTTCTTTTCCCTCTCTGCTATGGTTTTGTCGTTTGGGAATGTAAGGTTTAAAGCTGAATTCATACCTAAGACTCAGTAATGGTAAGAAGAACATCATCTTAGCTTATCTGCCAAGCCCCCGCACAGGTCTAAAACAAATACAGAAAGATTTGTGTAAATTAGAGATTATCAGGTAGAGATTCTTCCAGTGATGCTTAAGGAGTGGCGAAGGGCAGTTGTTGAAGTACAGGATTGCTGAATCCTTGAAGGAGTCCCCTTGTTCCTGTATCACCCAGAAAGTAACTTGAGTTTTCTTCTGGATTTAAAAGCCTGAACTCTTCTTGGTTTTTGATTCTGGGGCCTAGGGCGACTACGTGCACAAGTCTGTGTTTATCATTTTCTTCCAAGGCGATCAGCTGAAAAACAGAGTCAAGAAAATCTGCGAAGGGTAAGAGACACATGTGCCTCCACTCGAGAGCAGCCTGGCTGCCCGCTGCTGAGCCTTAGGATTCAGGCCAGCGAAACAGAATTCTGTCCGTTTGTCTCACTGTAGAGAGTATACCCTGTAATCACGTTAGGGTTTGTAAAAACAACTAGAAGTAGCCTAAGTTCATTTTGTAAAAGTACTGTTGAAACCATAGTTCTCTTTCCCTGGGAAAAGTAACCAGGACTCTTGGCTTCCACCCACTGTGTTATTCTGGGACAGCGGTGTGCACACCCAGTCTCCGGTACCATCGGCACCAAGGCCTTCCAGTTTTTGAATTTTTGCCTTATGGAAGGACTTTTCCCATACCATTTTTCTGTGATAATTTACAGTGTATTTTGACTTTCATTTTTTCTAATCTCAAGGGAATTTCATAGCCACAGAGAATGTCAAGATAGTTTAAATGTTACTGATCCGTCCGCAGACTGCTGCATATAAATAGTGTTGGTTAATACCCAAGCCTGATCTGATCCCATCTTGGTCCTTCTAGGGTACTGGGATTACTGTCAGACTGTTTGAAGTAGGTTTGCCGTTCCTAAGGCCGGGTCTGTGCATTCCAGGTTTCGAGCCTCGCTCTATCCCTGTCCGGAGACCCCGCAGGAGAGGAAGGAAATGGCTTCCGGAGTGAACACCAGGATCGATGATCTCCAAATGGTACACAGAGGGCTGGGGGGAAGTTGCTTTTGTGACATACTGCAGTGTAAGCCGGTTCTCCTTTCTTCACACCCAGACAGCTTATCAGGCACCTGGAGCAGCCCAGGATACCAAAAAAAGAAACGCCTGTGGGTAGCGTGTCCCTCTGGGAGCTGTAGAACCTCTCAGGGAGCGGCTGCTAAAAATAGCATTGTTCATCCTCCAGCAAGCAGGAAGCTGTGCATCTGGAATCAGTGTCATTTGGAGCAGCCAGTCCCCGCATTCCCGTGTGCCTCCAAAGTCCTGAGTGTTGTGGTGGTGTTCTTCTCTTTTCTTAAGATTTACTTACTTTGGGGCTGGTGCTGTGGCATAGCAAGTTAAGCTACCACCTGCAATGCCAACATGCCATATGGGCACTCCACTTCCGATCCATCTCCCTGCTAATGGCCTGGGAAAGCAGTGGAGGATGGCCCAAGGGCTTGGGTCTCTGCACCCATGTGGGAGACCTGGAAGAAGCTTGTGGCTCCTGGCTTTAGCCTGGCACAGCCCTGATCACTGTGGCCAGTTAGGGAGTAAACGAGCAGATGGACGCTTCCCCTTTTTGTCTCTCCCTCTCTCTATAACTCTGCCTTTCAAATAAAATAAATCTTTGGGGCCGGCGCTGTGGCCCAGTGGGTTTAAATCCCTGGCGTGAAGCAGTGGCATCTCATATGGGTGCTGGTTCTGGTCCTGGCTCTTCCGATCCAGCTCTCTGCTATGGCCTGGGATAGCAGTGGAAGATGGCCCAAGTTCTTGGGCCCCTGCACCCACGTGGGAGACCTGGAGGAAGCTCCTGGCTCCTGGCTTCGGATTGGTGCAGCTCCGACCATTGCGGCCATCTGGGGAGTGAACCAACAGATGGAAGACCTCTTTATCTCTCTCTCTCTCTCCCTCTCTCTCTGCCTCTCTTCTCTCAATGTAATTCTGACTTTCAAATAAATAAAATAAATCTTTAAAAAAAATCTTTAAAACAAGATTTATTATTTATTTGAAAAGCTGTTACACACACACAACACACACACACACATACACGTATGTATGAACACTATGTGGCGAGAAAGAAAGATCTTCCACCCACTGGTTCAGTCCCCCATGGCCGCAACTAACTGGGCTGGCCCAAGCCAAAGCAGGGAGCCAGAACTCCATCCGGATCTCCCACGTGGGTGCAGGGGCCCAAGCACTTGGGCCATATGGCACATTAGCAGAGAACTGGATCAGAAGTGCAGCAGTCAGGACTTGAAATGGAGCTCATACGGGATGCCAGCATTGCCAGTGTCAGTTTAACCTGCTGTACCAAAATGCCAGCCCCTGAAATGTTTTTTATAATTAAATAATACAAATGATTAGATAAGGGGAAAAAATCAAATAATAAAGGAGTACATGTAAAGTTTCTTAGTATAGTTATGACATGTATACTATATATGTAAACCATAGTATATATATTGTGCATATAAACTTTATTTAAAAATATATAACTACACACCCTGGTTGTCATACAGTTCCAAGGGAGGAGTCATGATTGATGTATAGAGGGTGGCCAGCAGACTTTGTTCCTACTTATTTACTTATTAAAATATTTATTTATTTATTTGAAAGGCACAGCTAGAGACAGAGAGTTCTCTGGCTAGGACTGGGCTAGGTCAAAACCAGGAACTTGTAACTCCATCTGGGCCTTCCACATGGGTGACCTACATGGGGCTCAAGCTCTTGGGCCATAATCTGCTGCTTTCCCAGGTGTATTAGCAGGGAGCTGGATCAGAAGTAGAGTAGCTGGAACTCAAACTGTTGCTCATTTGGGATGTGGTGTCACAGGCAGCAGCTTAGCCAACTATGCTACTATCCAGCCCCCTGTTCCCTTTTTGAGAATGAATGTAGGGGGTCGGGGAGGGGGTGGCGCCAACACTGTGGCGCAGTGGGTTAAGCCACCGTATAGCAGTGCCAGCATCCCATCTGCCTCTGATACAGCTGGAAAGGCAGCAGAGGATGTCCCAAATGTTTGGGCCCCTGCACCCACATGTGAGACTTGGAAGAAGCTCCTGGCTTCGGCATGGCTCAGCTCCAGCCATTTGGCCATTTTGGAAGTGAACCAGTGGATAGAAAAATCTGTCTCTCCTCTCTCTTGTCTCTCTGACTCGGCTTTCAAATAAATTAAAAAAAAATTTTTTTTTAAAAAAGAATGAAAGTGGAGATCAGCACTGTGGCACAGTGGGTTAAACTGCTACCTGCAGTACCAGCTTCCCATATGGCTACTGGTTCGAGTCTCAGCTAAACTGCTTACAGTCTAGCTTCGTGCTAATACATCTGGGAAAGCAGTGGAAGATGGCCCAAGTCTTTGGGCCCCTGCACCCATGTGAAAGACCTGAATAAGGCTCCTGGCTTTAGGCTGACCCATCTGGGGAGTGAACCAGTAGATGGAAGATGTCTCTATATCTCTGCCTCCCTGTCTCTGTCTGTCTGTCTGTCTCTCTCTGTTTCTGTAACTCTGCCTTTCAAGTAACTGAATAAATCTTTAAAAAAAAAAAAAAAAAGAATGTGATGACTGTCCCTGGAAACATTTGTAAATAGATTTCATCCCAAAGAGTTCCTTCCAGCAGTGGCTGGAGGTTGTCTAGAGATTTCGTCTCCCTTTCTCATCTTTCCCTTCTACCCCCCACTCAGCTCAGCTCGTTTCAGGTACGCTTACCTGCTCAGAGGGGAGAGAGGGTTCTGGAGCTGCTGGTGGCTGGCAGACAGGCTGTTAGCACGTTGTGCATTCCAGGGCTGTCTTACCTCTGTCCAGGCTTTCGGGCAGATGTTTTTAAGTGTGTGCAGAAGTCAACATAAATGACTAAATTGTGACTTTTCACAAATCTGGCTGGGGTGGGCATTTGGCCTAGTAGTTAAGATGCCAGTTTGGATGCCTGCATCCTACGTGGGCGTATGTGAGCTCAGCTCTTGGCACTGGCTGCTGACTCCAGCTGCCTGCTGATGCAGACCCTGGGAGGCAGCAGTGAGGGCTCAAGTAGTTGGGTTCCTGCTGCCCTTGCAGAAGGGCTGGGTCGGGTTCCTGGCTCCCAGCGCGGCCCCTCTGGCTGCTGCGGGCATTTGGTGTGGGCCAGCGGCCAGCAGTGCACGCACTCGCTCTTGCCCTTGCGGTGCTTGCTCATTTCTCTCTCTCTCCTCTCGCTCTCTCCACTTCTCAAATAATAAAAAATAAATTAAAAAATCCAGCTGTAGGAACTGAAACTTTAAGAAGAGATAGAGTACCAAGGAGTAGGGTAGGGAAGTAGAAAAGCAAAGAGAATATTTTTTTAAAAGATTTTATTTGTTTACTTGAAAATCAGAGTTACAGAGAGGCAGAGGCAAAGAGAGAGAGAGGTCTTCCACCTGCTGGTTCACTCCCCAGATGCCCTTAATGGCCAGAGCTGTGCCGATCCTAAGCCAGGAGCTTCTTCCTGGTTTCCCACATGAGAACAGGGGCCCAAGGATTTGGGCCATCTTCTACTGCTTTCCCAGGCCATAGCAGAGAGCTGGGTCGGAAGTGGAGCAGCTGGGACTCAAACCAGCGCCCATATGGGATGCCAGCACTGCAGGCCGCGGCTTTACCCGCTAGACCACAGCGCAGGCCCCCAGAATATTATTGTGAGCTTATTTAGCATCCCTTCCAGAAGTTGTAGTGGTGATTGTGGAATGGTCGACAGCCAGGATGGGAAGGAGCCGGCCTCGAGTGACGTAAGAGCTTCCCAGCAGGTCACGAGTGGGTTTTCTTGAAACCTTATTCCACCCAACAGTTTCTCAGAGGAAGGTGCTGCTTTGTTCTGAACTAACTTGAAGAACCTCTCATGATGGGACTTGGGCTAATTAACATGGTTGGTGTGTAGCTTACCCCTCTTCAGAGAAATAGATTTTCTGTAGGAATGTGAGTGGTGAGTTATTTGCCTGATCCTTTCCCACTGGGAGCAGTGATCTAGCCTCTCTAGCTGTTAAACTAAACACCTGGTTCTGAGCAAGGCAGTACAAATGTGAAATACGCCTGCTTCTTCCTCTCATCCTGGTCCTGGCAGTGGCTCCTCAGGGCAGCCTGCACCAGTTTCCCGAGATCCACACTGGAGCTTTCTCCTGCAAGAAGCCAGGCAGGAGGGGGGAGGCTCACCTGCCCCTGACAGGGCCGCGCCAGGTGGAGTGCAGAGTCCTGCTGGATCCTGAGCGCCCTGCTCCCGCAGCGTCTCGTCTCGCGGCTCGTGGTCCCGGCACAGCGCCCCCGCGCCCTGAGGCTGGCCTCGCGCAGCTTCTCTGACGTGTGCATTTGCTCACTCCTCAGCTCCTGGGCCTGAGCGCTTAGTGACTCAAGTTACAGCCAGGGACCTACATGTGATTGCCTTGGGTTGGTGTTAAGGTTGAATATAAGGAAAAAAGTTAAAACCATTTTCTCATACTTCTGCTCAATGTGAAGCTAAATGGAAATGAATGTTAATAACTAGAACTCATATTTTTTATAATTTTGTAACTTAAAAATATAGATGTATAATCTCCAGAGTAGGAAAAGCCAGTTCCATAGCAACCCTTTCTGGAAAGAACGGCCCTTCCCCCGTTCGCATCTGTAAGAGTGGTGTTGGAAGGACCCTTCCCTTGTTCCTTCCCTCTGAAAGGTGCTGAATCAGACGGAGGATCACCGCCAGAGGGTCCTGCAGGCCGCGGCTAAGAACATCCGGGTCTGGTTCATCAAGGTGCGGAAGATGAAGGCCATCTACCACACCCTGAACCTGTGCAACATAGACGTGACCCAGAAGTGCCTGATTGCAGAGGTGTGGTGCCCCGTCACCGACCTCGACTCCATCCAGTTCGCACTCAGAAGGGGCACGGTGAGTCCCCAAAGCCAGCAGCGCGGCTGTGGCCAGGAAGAGAGGTTCTCATGTCGGTGTCACTTGGATGGCGGTGTTTTTGCTTGCAGAGCTCTTTAGTGTGTTCACCTCGGAGCCCGGCTTGTACGTAGCCTGGGGTCTGAGCTTTATTCTGCACATGTGAAAGCTGCCCTTCAGAGAGAGCAAATGATTTGGTCACAGGCCGTGAGCCTTCTGGGTAGCTCATGACCTGAGCGTCAGTTTCCTGGCTCACCCTTTATTTGCTTGTATGTAGTAGTTGGTTAGAGCCACTGCTCTGGCCAAGACCCTGCTCTATGGGCCTGGAGGGGCACAGAGTGTCAGAAAACACGCCACGAGCCTCCTATGGATTCCGGGAAAGGACGACGTGCAGACGCCCACGAGGGGCTTTGCTCAGAGTGACACCTACGTGGAGAGTGGAGGTAGGGCTTCCCACCTGGGGTGACTGGGCAAAGCTTCAAGAGACGGGGGCATTTGATGAGGACTTTGAAGAATGGGTAAGATGTTGCTTCTCAATGATGAGAAGAAAACAGCGTGGACAAAGGCAGGAAGTACAGTGCAACAGCGTATGATTGAGCAAGAACAGGAACTAGAGCAGGTTAGCTAAAAGAACAAGCGATGGACCCGCATCAGATAAATTGGAACCTGATTGTGAAGGTCACCAAGCAGGTTAGAGGGTTTGGATTTTATCCCGGAGGGAACAGAGAAAGGACATGATTAAAGTGGTTTTAAAAGAATAATCTGCCACTAGCATCTAGGAGAGATGGGTAGGTGGGGGCCCATCTGAAGGTTATCAGAGACAGAACCGTGAGTGATATGGACCTCAGGATAGGACTTGACTCTGGGGAAAGAAAATAATTAATGTGTGTATGGGACATTCTTCAGGGAAGATCAGTAGGTAGACTTTGTTCCTAGCCAGATACAGGAAAAGCACAAAGAAAACAGATTAGGAAAGTTAATGAGCAGCAGCGTGACCAGGAGAGAGAGGGTTCAGCAAGAGAGCCTGACTTCTAGGGAAGGGCCGGAGGTCAGCTGCAGTCATAATGAGGTGCTGGGCAGAAACCGCCACGGGACAGAACTGAAGGAATGAGAACTGGGAGAGGAGAAGGGAGTGAGACGGCCAAGAGCAAGGGCGTAGAAAATAAGGAAGTTTCTTGGGGGCCCGTGGTACTGCAGGAGGGCAGGGGAGACGGCAGGAGTGGTTGCTGGGCAGAGGGGTGCCTGAGGAGTGCAGATACTGTCACTGCAGAAAGAACTGCAGTGCCGCGACTCGCTCTTGGGAGAGCAGACCTCACAGGGTGGTGAGCCGGCTCTCAGCCACACTACGCGGATCTGGGGGTGACGAGCGGGGCCTGCTTCCTCTGGGAGGGGGAGAGAAGGATAGTATTCACCAAGCAGATGTGGAGGAGGGTTCATGGCTCTGGCTACACATTTTGGAGTTAGATTTTTTTCTTGGTAAGCATTTAATTGAAGTCTTCCATTGTAAATTTTATATCTCACCCCAGTTTCTCCAAAGAATGGAGAAAATAACCTATAATTCTGGTTTTTTCCCACTAGCTTAAGATATAAATATGTGTATTTTGTGTATACAGTTTGATGAATTTTGATAAGTAGACTCACCTGGGTGGCCAGCACCAGAAGTGGGACAGCCTGATTCTGATATCTGTGCTGATGTCCCCAGGAACACAGTGGCTCCACCGTGCCCTCCATTCTGAACCGGATGCAGACAAACCAGACTCCCCCAACCTATAACAAAACCAACAAGTTCACTTACGGCTTTCAGAACTTGGTCGATGCTTATGGAATTGGAACTTACCGAGAGATAAATCCAGGTACAACAGCTCGAATCCTTTCCCCCTAGAGATTCTTATTTGTATCTTTGTTGTAATTCCTCAGTTTAAATACTTTTGAACAACTGGCCTAAAACTGAAGGTCTTGTCCGGCCTCAGCTCTGTAAAATCCCTGGGAAGTGTGCTTGCACAGGAAGCAGGTGTATCAGCAGGTGTAGCGTGCTCTTGAGGAGGTCGCTGGGAGGCAGCCTTGCACGAGCGGCCACAAACCTTGGCCTTCTCTAGAAGCAGTTTGTAGCAGCTGCTTGTGTTAGCGGAGATGGGTGGTAGGTTCTTGTCTTCACATAAGAAAGAATTCAGGCCGGCGCCGCGGCTCACTAGGCTAATCCTCCACCTTGCGGCTCCAAAAAACTGGGTTCTAGTCCCGGTCAGGGTGCTGGATTCTGTCCCGGTTGCCCCTCTTCCAGGCCAGCTCTCTGCTATGGCCCGGGAGTGCAGTGGAGGATGGCCCAAGTGCTTGGGCCCTGCACCCATGGGAGACCAGGAGAAGCACCTGGCTCCTGGCTTCGGATCAGCGCAGTGCGCTGGCTGTAGCGCGCCGGCCGTGGCAGCCATTGGAGGGTGAACCAACGGCAAAGGAAGACCTTTCTCTCTGTCTCTCTCTCACTGTCCACTCTGCCTGTCAAAAAAAAAAAAAAAGAAAGAAAGAAAGAAAGAAAGAAAGAAAGAAAGAAAGAAAGAAAGAAAGAATTCAGATGTGACAGAGAACAGTGGTAAGCAAGGTTTATTGGAGTAGGACATCCATCAGAACGATGAGACAGAATCCAAGAGAGAGAGTCCCAGTGAGACTGGGGAAGGCAAGGCTGCTGGCTAAACGGAGTGAAAACACCTGTCAGGCCAGGCAGGTGCCTCAGCAGAGAGCTGAGTGCTGAGCGTGCAATCTGTATTCAGACTGGGGCTTATAAGTGAAAGGGATCCAGTTCTTCCCACCATTTCTCCTTCCTCTCCACCTCTTCCTCCTGGACAAAGGGTTTGCTGAGTGTGAATTAGGTGAAACTCCTCCCAAGAGTTCACTACTCAGTGCTATAGACTGGGGAGCCCACCTGCGCAGGGCAGAGGAGCCTCCCCTGGGGCGCCTGCTTGGGAAGGATGTGATGGCTGCATTGCTCAGTGTTACCAGGCCAGGTAACCCACGTGGTGCTAAGGAGGGAGGATTCTCCTAGGGAGCCTTGCTTAGGGGAGGCTGAGACCACCTGTAAAGTTCCTGGGGTGTGGGCATGACTCTGGAGCGTAAAATCCTGGGCTGCTTCCGAGGTGAGCTTCTGCACGTGCTGTGTTTTCCTCAGGCCCCTCTCTCACACACAGGCCAGTTTCTAACTTCCTACCTAACATTTTAAGAAAAATGTTTTTTTTCCAAGGGACCTGGTATTTAAAAATGACTTCTTTTGGCTTCCCTGTTCCAAGGTGAAAAGACGGAGAAAAGACAATTATTGACTGTTTTAGGACCAAGGCATATCCGTCCTCTGTTTGGAGAGTTGATTATTAAATCACAAGTCAGGCTTTGATTCCAGCTGGCAGCTTGTGCACAGCCTGCCTTAGTCCAGTTGTAGGCTTCCCCTTCTACTTGCTGATCAGCCCAGAAGTGGTTACTGTGGCTGGTGTTGTAGCACAGTGAGTGAAACTGCCACCTTCAATGCCTGCATCCCATATCAGAGCTCCGGTTCCAGTCCAGGCTGCTCTGCTTCCAATCTGCTCCCTGCTAATGCACCTGGGAAAGCAGTGAATGATGGCCCAAGTACTTGGGCCCCTGCCACCCATGTGGGAGACCTGGATAGAATTCCAAGCTCCTGGCTTCAGCCTGGACCAGTCCTGGCCATTACAGCCACTTGGGGAGTGAACCACTGAATGGAAGATCTCTCTGTCTCCCTCTCCCCTTCTCTTTTCTCTCTCTCCCTCTCCCCTTCTCTTTTCTCTCTCCCTCTCCCCCTCTTCTCTCCCTGTCACTTTACCTTTCAAATAAATAAGTAAATCTTAAATAAACAAATAAGTAATTGCTGCACAAAGGGAGGACATCTGGCCTGCCCCAGGAGCAGCCTCCCAGGGGTTGGAAGAAGGGAACTGAAGGATAAAACAGGGCTTCACTGGGACCGCACCTTCATTTCCTGTGCTTTTCTGTGTTTAAAATGTTAGCGGGAGCTCAAAACCCGCAGCCGCTGGGTGAGGGGCGCAGATCCTGCCATGGAAGAGCTGCCCTGGAAGTCCTCTGTGTGGTGGCTGCGGACTGCGTGACCTCAGGAGTGCGGCCCGGGGAGTTGTGGTTTCACGCACTTTGTGATGTTCTTCCTCTGGTGTGCTTACAGCTCCATATACCATCATCACTTTCCCCTTTCTGTTTGCGGTGATGTTCGGAGACTTCGGCCATGGCATTTTGATGACCCTTTTTGCAGTGTGGATGGTGTTGAGGGAGAGCCGGCTCCTCTCCCAGAAGAATGAGAATGAGGTGATGTTTTATGTGTTAAGTTTCTCCTGCTTTCAGTCTTAACATCGTGACCTGGAAGTCCTTGATGCATATACTTTTATCAAAGGAGAATAGAGACGTTAAGTTCAATGCCGTGTGCTGTGTGAGTGAATTTCTCATTGGCATTGCATTCTGGCGTCTGCCTCAAGCTCTTTGAACCAGGGTGGGGCATGGTAGTGTGGGAGGCAGAGGCCAGTGTGCTCTAAGTAATGTTCTTTCGCATGAGCTACAAGGGTCCATTCTCACTCCTTTTTTCTTCTGGTTCCCAGATGTTTAGCACTGTGTTCAGTGGTCGCTACATTATCTTGTTGATGGGCGTGTTCTCCATCTACACTGGCCTCATCTACAATGATTGCTTTTCCAAGTCTCTCAACATCTTTGGGTCATCCTGGAGTGTGCGACCGATGTTCACTTTATCTAACTGGACGTAAGTTGTGGACCAGGTTAATAGTGGTGAGCTCGTTGCTTTCGTGTTTCCCTCTGGTGGTGAGCTAACACCCCTTTCTTCCGGAGTCTTCACACATTTCAGGAGAATGCAGGGTCTCCTCTGATTTGTGCTCCAGCTTGTGCAATGCCTTGGGGATTTGTCCAGCAAGTATCAAGGAACCAAGAATTTAAATTAGATGCATTTGTTCTTTTTGCAAATAGAAGGTGTGTTGTCTGAATTACCCACTTGGTTGTATGTGTTTAATTTTTCCTTCTGTCATCTCTGTTCCCTTGTGATTCTCAGCTACTGTAGCCCCGTCTGTTGTTGAAGAGACACGATAACTGTAGTCATTTCTTTTGGGGCCAGTTTCCAAACCCCAGTGGTTTCCCTCCTTTGACTAAAACTAAACGAGACTTTCCTCTTTGCGTGAAGGGAGGACACCCTTCGGGGGAACCCCGTGCTGCAGCTGAACCCGTCTGTCCCTGGAGTTTTCGGTGGACCGTACCCTTTTGGCATCGATCCGGTAAGAGAAAGAACTCCTTTTCTGTATGTTAACCCCAAATATGTCCACTGTAACCCTGAAGTGAGACAACTTAAGTGAAATTAAAGATTTCTTTGGACTTTAGTTGGCAGAAAAGCTTGATGTATCTGCTCAGAGTGCTTCAAAGCCCTGGGAGACCTAAGAGCCTGGTGGGGGCGGGGGCAGCGAGGGTCACGTGTCTTCCTGAACTGCTTGTTTCTGAGGTGGCTGACAGTGTCAGCTCAGGGAAGGCTGATGTTCCAGACTGCTCCAAGTTCTTAAGTTATTTGTGCTTGATTTTTTTTTTTTAAAGATTTATTTATTTGGAAGGCAGCATGACAGAGAGGAGGAGAGATAGTGAAAGAGATTTTGTACCTGCCGGTTCACTCTCCAAATTCCCACAATAGCCAGGGTTGATCCAGGCTGAAGCCAGGAGCCAGGAACTCGATCCAGGTCTCACATGTGGGTGGCAGGAATCCAAATCCAAATCACAGGCAAACACTGGAATGTGAGTCCTGATTTAGGAACCGTGAGCTGACGGCTAAGTGGAGGCAGAGCAGAGCAAACCACGAGGAAGGTGTCCCGGGCCTCGGGTGAGGGCAGCTAAGACACTGCACTCAAATAGATGACACAGCGGCACCACAGGGACGTGACCAGCAAAGCACCGACAGTGAGGCACCTGCGAGATAAACGCGCCAGTTCTTCGACAGATATCTCGTAAGGAGGCTGTAGATTAGAGGCTGAGAACTGTGTCAGCACAGTGCCTGGACCTCATCTGCTTTGCTACATCAGTGTCTTTACAAACCTGGGGGATGGGCATCGTGGCACAGCAGGTTACGCCGCCTCTTAGGACACCTGCATTTCATATGGTAGTTCCTGGGGTCAAGTCCCACCTCCACTTCCAATCCAGCTCTCTACTAATGCTCTGGGGACAGAGCAGGTGATGGCCAACTACCCGGGCCCTGTCGCCTGGGTCAGAGACTAGGATAGAGTTCCAGGCTCCTGGCTTGGCTTTGCCCAGCTGTGGCTGTTGTGGCCATTTGGTGAGTGAACCAGTGAATGGTAGATCGATCAGTCGATTGATTGATTGATTGATCTAGCTATCTAACTCTCAGGTTCTGCTTTCTTTGTTGCTCTTTCAAATAAATAAATCTTTAATAAAAGAATAATTGTTAATGCTTTTGAATATGATGTTAGTAATAATGGTCATTTTTTTTTAAATGAGTGCTTACCTTTTATAGATCCATGCTGAAATATTTGCAGGTAAAATGACATGGTATCTGAATTTTGGTTCAAAATAATATGGAGGTAGGGGTGGGTATGATGAAACGCGATGGCAGGAGTCGGTAAGTTGAGAATGATTGTTGAAGCTGGGTGATTGATACATGGGAGTTTGTTAAACGGTTCTGTCTATTGAAGTACAGGTTTAGAATTTTCCGTAACATAAAACAACTTTTAAACCAATGTATCTTTCCCTTTGAGAATTCTTTGTAATGCCTCTGTATTCTTGGGTTGTGACAGATTTGGAACATTGCTACCAACAAACTGACCTTCCTCAACTCCTTTAAGATGAAGATGTCTGTTATCCTTGGTATCATCCATATGCTGTTTGGAGTCAGCCTGAGCCTTTTCAACCACATGTGAGTTGCTGTTTCCACCCTAAGCACATGCAGAGCTTAGTGAGTGCTTTTGCCTGAAGAAAAGTAACAGCATCTCCGGGGAGGGGTTGCCGGCTCAGGACGCATTCTGTGTCGTGGAAGTGCAGCCTTGGGCCAGCAGTTGGCCAGGTAGCAAGGTGCCGAGGAGGATACCCATGTCCCATTTTGGAATGTGTGAGTTTGATACCCAGCTCCACTCCTGACTCGACTGGGGCATGTTCCCATGTGGTCTGGCCCAGCCCCAGGCCATTGAAGACATTCAGGGAGTGAGCCAGTGAATGCAGTGAATGGGGGAGTTCTCTCGCTCTCCGCTCTCGCTCTCTCGCTCTCTCCTTCTCTTCCTCCCTTTCTCCCTCACTCAATTTTTTTTTTTTTTGACAGGCAGAGTGGACAGTGAGAGAGAGAGACAGAGAGAAAGGTCTTCCTTTTGCCGTTGGTTCACCCTCCAATGGCTGCCACAGCCAGCGCGCTGCGGCCTGCGCACCGCGCTGATCCGAAGGCAGGAGCCAGGTGCTTCTCCTGGTCTCCCATGCGGGTGCAGGGCCCAAGCACCTGGGCCATACTCCACTGCACTCCCTGGCCACAGCAGAGAGCTGGCCTGGAAGGGGGGCAACCGGGACAGAATCCGGCGCCCAGACTGGGACTAGAACCCGGTGTGCTGGCGCCGCTATGTGGAGGATTAGCCTATTGAGCTGCGGTGCCGGCCACTCAATTTTTTTTTTTTTTTTAATTAATAACACCTTTTCTGTGTTTGATTTCCAAATACAAACTTGCGTCAACATTCTGAAATTTTACAGAAAAGTTAACTCTTAAAAAAAGCAAAACTCTTGGGGCCAGTGCTGTGATATAGCAGTTAAAACTGCTGCCTGCAGTGCTGGCATCCCATATGGACACTGGTTCAAGTCCCAGCTGCTCTACTTCCGATCCAGCTCTTGGCTATGGCCTAGGAAAGCAGCAGAAGATGACCCAAGTCCTTGGGTCCTGCACCCATGTGAGAGACCCAGAAGAAGCTCCTGGCTCCTGGCATCAGATTGGCCCAGCTCTGGCCGTTGCGGCCATTTGGGGAGTGAACCAGCGGATGGAAGACCTCTCTCTCTCTCCCTCTCTCTGTCTATAACTCTGCCTCTCAAATAAATAAATAAATCTTAAAAAAAAAAAAAAAGGGCAGAAACTCAGGGTTTGAATGAACTTGAATATTAGTTCCTTAACAGTTTATAGATGCAGTAAAGATTTTTGAAACAAAAATGGAATAATTTTCATCAAAATGAGTGAGTTACTTTTTTCCTTCCTTGAAGTGTAGCTGACAGAATTGTGGTCTCAGAGTGACCTGGATTTTCTAGTCTGTCTCATGGAGAGAATGGTGGGGGTGGTACCAGGCCATTCAAGGTCCAAAGGTTTGGAAACGGCCATAATCCTGCGCTGTCTGTGTTGCTTCCAGTGCTTCTGGCTGCTGTTTCCGAGAGTGGTGAAGGCCGACTGAGCATTAGGCAGAAAAGTCTAGGGCGTCCTCAGCCGTGTGCAAGAGCAGGCACGGGTCTGTTCGCCCCTAACGTTTTCTTTTATCCCTCTTCCTTGTTAGCTATTTCAAGAAGCCCCTGAACATCTACTTCGGATTTATCCCTGAGATAATCTTCATGACCTCTCTGTTTGGCTACTTGGTCATCCTTATCTTCTACAAGTGGACAGCCTACGATGCACACACTTCGGAGCATGCGCCAAGCCTTCTGATCCATTTCATAAATATGTTCCTCTTTTCCTACCCGGACTCTGGCAGCTCGATGCTGTATTCTGGACAGGTGCGTCGACAGAGAGGCACACTGGGTCAAGAAACCAGCAGTTTCTCTGACCCTAAAAAAAAGCCTAAAAATACCGTTGTGTAGCATTTGGTTCCCAGCCCATACATCCGGATCTAAATTCCAACCATCCTCCTTAGCTTGGAAGGCTCCACTATCCCTGCTGTATCCAGAGAGGGTAGAATTCTCTGAGATGATCCCTGGACCCCGCCACGGCAGCTGCTAATAATTTTGAGAAACTAGATAGTGGTATTCATAGACCCGTGAGACACTACTGTTTGGGGGACATTTGTGCTGCAGTTGGAAACTGCATATTTAAGCCATGAACTTTAAAAAATATTAACATCTATTTTGATCCACTTGAAATACAGAGACTCAGAGGAGAGAGAGAGATCTTTCATCCACTGGTTTACTCCCCAAATGCCCCCAGCAGCCAGGGCTGAGACAGGCCGAAGCCAGGAGCTTGGAACGCCATCTGGATTCCTCACCCGGGCAACAGGGACCCAACTGCTTGTGCCATCATCTGCTGCCTTCCCAGGCACATTAGCTGGGGGCTGGGTCCCAGAGCAGCCAGGCCTCTTGAACTGGCACTACAGTGTGGGATGTGGGTGTCCCGTGCGGTGGCTTAACCCACTGGGCCGCGTTTCTGCGCTGCAGTGTGCATTTCTGTGATGTGCATTTTCCTCCTTCTTACTCTGCAGAAAGGAATCCAGTGCTTCCTGGTGGTGGTTGCGCTGCTGTGCGTGCCATGGATGCTGCTGTTTAAGCCCCTGGTCCTTCGCCGTCAGTACTTGAGGAGGAAGCACTTGGTGGGTGCATTTCTACTGCGGAAAGCTACCAGACTTTTTTTTTTTTTTAAGATCAAAGCAATTCCCAGGTAGATCTGATTAATTGTGCACAAACCTGTAGCCTCTTAGAGTACGTTGGTACAACCCAGCAGGAACACTGGGCCCGCTCAGGGAGAGAAACGTCTGTTTGCTGCTCACACATCCGGATTCAGTTTTGAGTGGCTGGGATAAAGAAACGAGTCATAAGGTTTTGCTTTGCTTTGCTCCTGCTGTGCTCAGCAGAATCCAGAACCCAGGCCTGGGCCTGTCGGCCAAAGCCAGGCAGCAAGAGCTGCGGACAGGGGAACTCACTCGTGTGGTTGCCTGGCGACAGCAAGGCTGATGCTGAGACATTTTCTTTGAAAATGAGACCGTGATACTTTTCCCAACCAAAACATCTAGGGGAAAAGTTTGGTGTAAAACACTTTTTTTTTTTTTTTTTTTTTTAGGCAGTATATGTCCATGTGCCTACTTAGTGTGTGTAGGCACACACACACACACACACAGTGTTAAGCATGCCTTATGTTCAGTATTGTGCATAATTTCTGGCAATCCAATAATGCTTACTTGTTACACTGCCTGGGAAAGCCCGAAGGCCGCGTTGCATGCAGACTCTGGTACGCCTGTTAGGTGCTCCCTGCTGTTGGAGAGCAGCTGAGTTACGAGCCCCTCCTTCTCCTTTCTCTGCCCATCTTCATCCTTCCATGTGCCCTCCATTCGTCGCCCCGTCACCCCTCCCCCTTTTGTTTTCTTCTCCCTTCCTCTTTTCTTCCCTTCACTATCAGGAAGGGCAACCTGTGGAGGCCCCAGTCAGTCCAACCCCGAGCCAGCAGGGACTAGAGGCAGCAGCGGCTGCAACAGTGAGTGAATTAAATCCAACGAAGCATCACGTTTGGTTCACAGAGGGGCACACAGTGCAGCAGCATTCTTTCTGACCACACTGAGGTCAGGGGGCGCGTGCTCACGGGACTTACATCCTTGTTACTCACTGAAACGATGACAGAAGACATGGCCACCTCTTAAGAGTAAATGCTTCTCTCTCTTTTTTTTTTTTTAAGATTTATTTATTTTTTTTATTTAAAAGGCAGAGTTAGAGGGAGAGGGGGAGAGAGAGAGACAGACCTTCCATCCGCTGGTTCACTCCCCGAATGGCCACAATGGCCAGGGCTGGGCCAGGCCAAAGCCAGGAGCCTGGAACTTCATCCAGGTCTCCCACATGGGTGCAAGGGCCTAACTACTTTCACTTCATTCCCAGGCGTGTTAGCAGGGAGCTGGGTGAGAAGTAGAACAGCTTGGACTTGAACTGGTGCTCATAAGAGATGCCAGTATTGCAGGCAGAAGCTTAACCCACTGTTCCACAATGCTGACCCCAAGAGTGGATTCTGGTTTCATGTTTGCTGTTGTCTCCTAAGATCCTATCCAGATATGTGAGTCCAGTCACATCCATGGGAGCGAAGCGGCTATCGCCTCATCCTCTAATTCAGCATGGTGGCTCTTGAACCCATTTCCTCCACGTCTGTAGCTTGTGTCCAGGCATTGGATGATTTCTTCTCCTGTGGTGCTTAGATGGGGTTCGCAGACATTAGAGTTCTTCCTCACAGTGATGTTGGTCCCTGGGCCCTTGGCAGCAGTGACTTACCCTCTTCAACATAAAAAGCATTCTCTCTCCCTCTTCTCGAAGACTTGGAAGCCCTCATGTCCTCCGCTGTCTGGGTGAGGCCTCCACTCTGCTGTGGGCCTCATGTGGTCTGAGAATCCCTGTGTAACCACAGTCACCTGTCCCGATCTTTTCTCTTCCGAGCTAACTCGTGATTCAGTAACAGCACTTGAGTGTTGAGTGTTCAAATAGTTCTCCTTAAAAACATCTTTCAGCCATGACCTTAGAATGCGTTAATCCCAGACCAGCCCACCATTTTCTAGGTTACGAATGTGTGAGCTCTTTAAACCTCCCCAGTCCCGATTGCTCGTGCACTTGCATCTGTAAGCAGCTACCCTCGTTTAATGAAAGTGGACGCTTTAGATGGCAACCACTTGCTTCACTAATTGTCCTGATGGTTTTAAACTTAGAAAATGGCTTTGTTGTCTTTCCAGAACCCTGATATTTTGGGTCAGAAGAAATTACAGTCTTGCTGCTTGAAGTGACTTCCAAGCAGGGACTTAGTCTGTCGTTCCTCACGAGAAGGAAAGAATCCTCAAAGCGCATACCACCATGATCAGCATTTTTCCTGCATACTCTGCTACTCTTAACCTCTGTAAGGTGTGCTTCTGAGCAGTCCTTGATACTGTGAACCCCAGCCACCTCTTCTCTGGTCAGCTGCAAGTTCAAAGCTAGCCCCCAGCCCCACCTCCCCACCCCAGCCTGGAAAGCTGCACCTTGATAGGGTCTTATCCCACATGGTGTTCAGCCCAATGGGTTGCCAGAGAGCAGCCTGAAGGCATGGGGCTGGTGGTTCCGTCTGAAGAGCCCTGCATTCCAGACCCCGTGGGGCTGAGGGTGTGCACACTGCTCGGGTTCTGTTCCTCGTCCCCTGGGTGTCTGTGAATGGCATTTCGCTGTCTTGTTTTTCTCTTTTCTGCTGACGTGTGTCTCATCCCCCTTCCTGTTACTCTCATTCCCTGTGTTCTGACGAGATCCACGTAAGCGTCTGGTGTGGAGACCTAACCTGGCTCCCCTCACTCTATCTGCTGTGTATGTGACGTGTGAGAGCCACACTAGGAAGTGTGTTTTAAACCGCAGCATTCTTCTGCCCCTGGCTGTACTAGGCCTTTAGAAATTGAGTGTGTCTTGGTGGTTGTCTAGTAGCAATAACCACTTTTTCGTGGTGGCCTAGCAATCTATGGAATATTGTGTTGGATATGCCAAAATTATGTAATCATTCTGTTGCTGTTGTTGACGTGTTGTTTGTTCCCGAGTCTGTGATTACAAACAGTATGGCAGGGAACGTCCTCGTCGTGTATCTTGGTCAAGTTTCACATAGATGTCCCAGCACCCAGCAGTGGGATGGCCAGCTCTCAGAAGGCGCACACATTATAAACCCTTACTGACTGTTCACACTGATTAGTGTTGATACTTGGGGAGATCTTTTTGGAATACGGATTTCCTGGGCCCCACGCTGGCCTCACAGTTTCTGGGGGCAGGATTAGAGGCTGTTCATTTAAATACAGCTTTCGAAGTGCAGTGGTTCTCTGGCCAGCGCATGAGGACCTCTGCTAGAAGAGGCAGCATTTGGGCAAACCCTGAGGTCTGAGCTGGTCCGTGGCCCGGGGTGGAAGCCATGGTAGGAGGTGTACCCCAAAATGTGAAGCTGAGGCTGGGGATGCCATACAGGCAACCAAGCCTGCCTGCATGACGTGCTGCTGTCCCAAAGGCCGTCGTGCAGGGGAGCGATCCGCCAGCTCCTGGTCTGCTCTCTGGAGAGAAAGGGGTGCTGGGGCAGCTGCTCTTGTCCCTTTGCTCTGTGGTAGGTCGGCAGCTGTCAGGACCTGTCAGGCCTTGTCCAGTTCTGCCTAGTTTTTGTCCCCAAAGAGTCCTTTTGCCTCCATAAACTTATGATTTTTGCATCAAATTGACTTTAAAATCCTGCTTATGAAGACTGCACCTGTGAGGCTGGAGAGCCACCCAGCAGTCAGCACCACGCCCCTTTTGAGGGGCTCCTTCACCCCAATCTGCCTCAGGGAGGGAAAGGGCCTCCTTTTGTTTGCTTTTTCACTCAGTGTCCTCAAGCCACAAACACGTATCTACTAAGCTTTTTCTTTTCCTTGACCTAGAAGGTCCCTTGTTCCTGGACTGAGACGCTGTGCATTTCCTCGGCTCCTGCTGCAAGTTTATCAGACCAAGGTCCCTCTTAGACAGTCTGATCTTTTGTTCCCAAAAGCTTAGGCTTCACAGGTAGAGCTGCACTTGTTACCGGAGTCTGTTCATATTAAGCTTTTCATTCAAGCAGGATTTCCAGTTAGCAGTGACCAAGGCCACATTGGTGCCACTCTTGGTGCACACGATGAAGTGGTAAATGTAGGTTTGGGGTGTGGGGGGCTGGGCCTGGGACTGGGGAGGTGGTGGCTGGGGCAGGAGCAGTTGTGGGTTCTGTGTGGTTGTTGGAATCTATGCCTCTCTGAGGTTTGTATGTACTAACCATCGCCCTTCTCCACCTCACAGAATAGCACACTAAAGCCCAGGCAAATTCTACTCTTTCTGTTCATCTGTGTAGGGAACTCTCAACTTTGGTGGGATCAGGGTGGGCAATGGACCCACAGAGGAGGATGCTGAGATTATTCAGCATGACCAGCTCTCCACCCACTCAGAGGACGCGGAAGAGGTAAGATCCTGTGCTGTGGGCTTCCTCTCCCTCCACCTCGGGTTGGCCCTCGTCTCGTGCAGCTGAGGGGCTTGCTTCAGCCCTGCCTTCTGGGCCTCTTAGGGCACCACAGTGTTTTCCAGGCTCAGAGCCCACGGTGCTGCAGCACCCAGCAGGCCTGCCTCTTCGGTCCCATGCAGAGCAGGCCCCCACATTCCAGCTCTTGCTCCAGAAACCCGGCCACTCCGCATGGCTTCTCTCTTCACCCCTGGATCCTTCCGGGGGTCGCTCCAGTGGCACTGCTTCCCAGCCACAGCCACTGGCACTTCTCAGGCCCCACCCTGTGTGTGGGCCTTTACCTACTCTTTACAGGAGCAATAAAAAGGAATCAGGCCAGGCTAGGCACCTCCAAGCCCAGCTTTTTAAAATCCACTCTTCCTGGCCTGACCACTGGTAGCACACAACCTCAGAGCAGAACTAATGCACCATGGAGTCTCACCTGTTCATTAGAGCCTTTTTTTGGACAGGTCGAGGGGGAGGAGTTGAGGACACAGGTTAGACTTTTAAGTCGGTCTGGCCGCTTTCACTATGTGTGATTTTTTACAAAAGAAATGGCAAGGATTGGGTGCCTTTTGAAAACATGCGTCTTACCGCTCTAAGTGCCGGCTGCTCTCCCTGTGCGTGTGACCTGCGGAGATGGCCCTCCTACCCAGGAGCCCTGGTCAGCACCGACAGGCCTCCCCCAGAAACAGTCGGTCACCTTGTGCGCCTAGCTTGTGACCTCTGTGTGCCGTGGCTCCCCACTAAGTGTGCATTTGTGTTTTCAAGCCTGCCGAGGACGAGGTGGTAAGACAACAGCCAGCTTTGCCTTCCTGTGTATCTGGGGCTTCTCTCTTCCTGTCCTTGTGATCACTCTGCTGACCCTGCTGCACCCCGGGGCCACACATGACACCGCGCATCCTTCATCCCAGTGGCCATTTCTAACCAGTCCATGAGCCTGTGTTCCGAGAAAGCTCACCTCCATTAACTGCGTCTTGTGTCGGTCACCTCTGTCTGTGTCATTGACTTTGCTGATCTGATACCTCTGAGAATGGCTTTGACAGAGGTGCAAGTAATGTCCGCAGTGGCATTCTTGACGTGCTCCCTGGGGCTTACATTCCGTTGGCCTGTGCCTTCCTCTCCATGGTGTTGTGGTTGCTCGGCCACGGGGGTAGCTGTTTCCTCCCCGCTCCTGAGTGCTTCTGAGCGGAGCTTGCCCTTCCTCCCTGAGATGCGGCTGCCTCTTCCCGCTGCCCTCAGCAGCTTGACCATGCTTCCAGTGAGGAGCCCTGGCCCTGGCCTGGGGTCAGCCCTGCCACCCTGTGGCCTAGCTGAGAACTGGGAGGCCTTCACAAGGCACCTTTGCCTCTGGGGTGTCCCAGAAGAACCAAGCCATCTGCAAAAGGAGCTCATTGTGTCAGCCACGCGTGGGAGTGACAGAGGATGGAAAGGAGGTTGCCTCAGCACTCAGCCACACCCAGAGCAGAAGGCCTCTCCCAGCAGTGACTCCTTGAGCAACACACACATTTTGAATTAGTTTCTTTTTTTTTTTTTTTGTCTTTTTTTGTTGTTGTTGTTAAGACCTTGCTGCACTGTTTGCATCTTCCCCCAAAATGTCTCTCTAAGATACCTGCACCTGTGAGCAATAATGCCCCTCCCTTTCCTGCCTCCCATGGTCCTCTCTGAGGGGGTGTGGGGATGGGACCGGGAAAAGCTTTGCTGTTGGGGTAACAGCAGGCAGTGCCTGGTCTTCCTGTGGTTTGGAGAGGCTCCGTGGCTGGCATACATGTTCCCGGCCTGCTCACGGGTGCAGTCGCTGGCTGAGCTGCCTGGCACGCTTCGGGGAGCTCTGGCATCTCCCAGCATCACCACCTCCAGCAATGCTGCTTTCTAAATGCCTTCCAGACCATGCACCCAAAGCCCTAGTCACTGTTGAGCGATCCAGCCACCTGACCTGTCCAGTGTCCTCTTTGGCACCCAGGCCCGGGGGGGTTGCACATCCAAGGAAGATGGCCTCTAATTTGGCCTCCCCGGTCTCCAGCCACCCACCTCACTCAGGGACGCAGTCTCCCTTGGCTTCCTCAGTAATCAACATTTTTATCAGACGAGTTCTCTACAGCCAAACTGAAATAACCAAAGCAGTTATCTGGTGTTTTCAAACAAAACACATTCTTTTTAAAAGTCCAGCCTACTTCTAAAATTTACCCGCCTGACTTGGCTATGAAAATTGTCCCACGCAGGCCATCGTTTGAGCCTGGTGGAGGTGTTTGTCCCTCTTCCAGGGTGGGGACATTCAGTCCAGCTGCAAACCAGGGCCAGGCCAGTTGTTACCTGGGAAATCCTCAAAGGTTCTAACCATGCGGCAAGGGTCAGCGGCACCTGTGTCTCCCACTGTGTCTTCCCACCAGGCCTTCACCCCTGTCCCTGCATCCTTCACCCTGTGTGTGTCAAGCACTGTGTTTAGAAACTGAAAGATGAAAAATATAGCTCTTGCCTTCGAGGACCTCCCAGACGGTGGGGAGAGAGTCTTGGGTGACAGGTACCATGGTAGATGTGTGCCCAGGGTACTGTGGGAGCACAGAGGGGGACCTGCAAACACTGGGTGGGGCTGGGGCAGGGGAGATAGGGAAAGGATTCCCACTCCCTGGGGGAGTTACCCTAAGCTCGGTGTGTAGAGGGCGGGGTGACCTCGCCAGCCAGTGTGGGAAGCTTCTGCAGCCAAGGACCTGTGGGGTGGGCAGAGGTAAACAGGAGTTCAGCTTAGCCGGAGCACAGAGCCAGGGCTCTGGAGACTGGGGAGGGGTGAGGCTGGAGTCTGGCCGAGACAGCCGTCATAGGTGTGGCCTCATCTGGGTGACGTCCAAGGCCTTGCCAGAGTCTTAAACTGGTGAGCAGGAGGCCCTGGTGTGAGGGCCTGGCCGACTGCGGATTCTGAGCAGGGCTCTGGATGAGCCCTAGGACAGAGTTCACCCCCTGGTCTTTAGTGGGCTGTTGAGAGCAAGAGGCCAGGAAAAGCATCTGAGGCTTCTAGAACGTTCCCCATGCACCCCAGCTATGCTTGGACAGCTCGTTCCCTTGCTCCACTTTAGTCTGGAAATCGTTGTTGGTATGAGAGGAAAACAGCAAAAGGCAGAGGAGACACCATCTGGCCGCCTCCGCTGTGACGTGGGAGCGTGGACTCTGTCTGGATTTCCCTGTGCCATCTCAGAGGTCGCAGAAGGGAGAGGAGGCCCCCTGGCTCCGGAGGCTGTAATGCAGGAAGTGAAGGGCTCTGGAGGGCGGCTTCTGGCTGAGGCTGGGGGACTTGTTCCCAGCAGGGCTGCTCTCCTCCCCAGCCCCAAACCAGGTCCACGGCGGTCCTTGCTGTCCCGGGGGCTGACTCGCCCTCCCAGCTGTGTGCTCTTGACTCAAGCCCGAGCCCAGCAGGGAGGAACTCCGAATGCGTTGAGAAGAATCTCCTTCAGGTGGGGGGTGTCGGGATCTCCAGGGAGGCAGCGCTGGCATTGGCCCAGGCATGGAGAGGCAGCGGTGAGAGGGCAGGCCCTGCCTGGGCCAGGCTCTCCGTGAAGCGGCCACAGCTCTGCACTCCTGCACCCTCCCCTCCATCTGATGTCTTCCGTCTGGTTTCTTCCGCGACAGTTTGACTTTGGGGACACCATGGTCCACCAGGCTATCCACACCATCGAGTACTGCCTGGGCTGCATCTCCAACACCGCCTCCTACCTGCGGCTCTGGGCCCTCAGCCTTGCTCATGCACGTGAGTGTCCTCCTCTCCACGCGTGCCCGCGGTCTCCCGCGGCGGGGATGACCCGGAGGTTCTGGTTCTGGACTCCAGAGAGAAGGAGTGCAGGCGGGAAGGTCCGCACTGTGTGCGGTGGTCCCACCAGGGCGACAGGGAGCGCCCCGGGGGAGGCATGGCGGGGCAGCCCCAAGTGACCAGGGTGCTGTGTCTTCCTGTCCCAGAGCTGTCTGAGGTGCTTTGGACCATGGTGATCCACATGGGCCTGAGGGTGAAGAGCCTGGCAGGAGGTTTAGCGCTCTTCTTCATCTTCACCGCCTTTGCCACCCTGACCGTGGCCATCCTGCTGATCATGGAGGGCCTCTCAGCCTTCCTCCACGCCCTGCGGCTGCACTGGTGAGAGACAGCGGGGCCCAGGGTGGCGGCGGGGGGGGGACCCCTAGTGCTGCACGGCAGCCCGAGTGCCTCCCGGGGAGTGTGAGCTGCTTCCTCAGCGCTCACGGCAGCGCCTGGCACCTGCCGTGCGGCCAGAGGATCTCCGCTTTTGGCTCGAAGCTTCCCGGGAGAGGCCCCTGGTGAGTGTCCTCAGGTCCCCTCCTGTCTGCAGCATTCTTCGGTGCCCTGTACTGTGGCTTGCAAGAGCTGCCGAGGTTTTGTGGTTTTTGTTTGAGGCTTCTTGTTTTTGTTCTGTTCTGGCGTGTCAGTGCCCTGTCTGGAGAGTAGTGAAAGTGGTCTCGCACAGACTCCGAAGCCCAGGAAGGCGCCCGCTCTGTTCCGCCCCATTCTCTTTGGTCAGGCCCCTGGCTGTGCCCTGGCAGGGAGGCAATTCCTGGTCCCTCAGCACACAGCTGGGCGCACTGACACAGCTCCTCCGGCAGGGCAGGCTGGGGGCTGTCCTGTTTGCTCCCTAATGCTGTGTGTGCCTCTCGAACGCTCTGCTTGGAGAGAGCCGGGTGGGAGAGCTGCATCTCACCGCGCTGTGACCGTGATCTTAAACTTGGGTTGTCAGATTTAGCAAATAAAAGTACAGGGCACTCAGTGAAGTTTGAGTTTCAGACCCACAGTGAACATTCTTGTAGTACGCGCCCTGAGCCCGGGCTGCCTGCTGGGTGCCGCTTCCCCCTTTATGTTGGGACTCTCCCTCTTGCGGGGGTCTCAAACCCCAGTGTCCAGACGCTCTGGGCCCTGTACCCGGAGGAGGAGGACTCCCTCACCCCTAGTGTTGCACGAGTCTGTGGGACCCCGCGTGGGTGGCCTGTGGTCTTGGTGACCTCTGAGAGTCTCACTGAGCTCACCAGGGCTGAGGAAAACCCAGCGGCCCTTCCCCCGCCCTGGATTGTCGTCCTGGCTGGGTCGCAGCTGAGCCTCCTCAGAGATTCCACTGTTGGTGGTAAATTCCCGGGGGAGAAGCGAGGCGCATGCGGGCCAAGACACAGCTCCCATCCAAGCAGCTTCCTCGGGCCGGCTCTCCTGCTCGCAGCCTCCACCTGCCTGCCCCCTGCCCCCTGCCCCCGGCCCGGCTCTGTTGACAGTGGAACCAGGAGGTCGGGGGGTCAGGAGAGCTGTGTGCTCAGAGCGCTGCCCAGACCCTGTTCCCAGCTCATCAGCCCGCTGACCCCAGCACACTCCCTTCGTGCTTGGGCGAGGGGCTGCTGGGGAGCCAGTGCTGGTGACTTCCTTGCCCAGTTGGCCCCCTGACACGCCGTCCACTTTGCCTGCTGAGCCCTGGATGGAGGGGGCAGTGAGCACCCCACCTTCGCTGCAGCCCGTGGGAGGTGTGGGGAGCTGTCGGACGTGAGGCGGGCACGGCCTCCCCTCCATGGTGAGTGCAGGCAGCGTGGGAGCAGTGTGTATTGAGAACTCCCCTCAGCTCACCCGTGCCCTCTGGTGGTGGTGTCCCACAGCCTGCTGGAGGGGCGCGGGAGGTGCTGAGTGACGGCAGGGTAAGCCTCCAGACCGGCTCGCCTGGGCTGGAGCTCCCAGCTCCACCGCACTGGGCAAGTAGTTCTGAGCAGGAGAGGGTGGCGTCACGGACAAGGGGTCTGATAGTAAATAGGAAATTGTCACACACCTGGTGTCCGGGCCAGCGCCCTGGCCGCTGTCAGCAGGTGTACAAGGATGGCTCGTACCTGCAGAGGGGTGACCCCAAGGGAGGCCTGTAGGGCATCAGAATGCCCCTTGGGTTTGGTTGTGGAAACAGGCTCACCCCACGGGAATTGCTTAAATTGTATTTGGTCGTAGGGAACTGGGTGGAAGAGGAGAATCTGTGGCCCTTTTGTGTGCCATTCGAGATCCCATGGGGAGGGGCGGTCACCTGTGGCATGTTGGGGGCATCTTGCCCACCATCCAAAAAGGAGTGGATAAAATCGGCCTCTGTACCGCTCTGTCTCCCGCCTCGTCCGGCTGCAGAACAGCCGCAGGGAAGCCACTGCCAGCTTTCCTGGCGTCCCCTGACCCGAGGCTGCCCCGCTGACACCTGTCCTGGGTCTCTGGTCGGGTAAGAAGAGCTTTGGGTTTGAGAACAGGCCACACCAGTCTGGCGTCCGTGGGAGATCCTACAAGGTGGGTGGCGTTCAACAGCGTCTGCCTCCTCCTGAGCTTCATCTCCTCTCCCGCGTGCCTCGTAGGATGTGCTTGGGCTTCTTGCCTTTCCCAGTCAGCCGTCCTCTCTTCCTCAGAAGGCGGGGGTGGGTGTGATCGTGGTTACGACTGCCAGCCCCAGAGCCACGCAGATGCAGGACCTGCCCCGAGGCTTCCCTTCCAAGGCGCATGGCCCCTTCTTAGCTGGCAGATTCTGCACAATTGTACGCTCACTGACTGGTCGGTGGTTCAGGGGGCTGGGTGATGGGAAGGACCACAGAGCTGCCACACGTGGCAGCATGTAGCAAGAGGGATGAGAAGCACTCTGAGTGGAGGTCAGGGCCAGCGGCGGTGCCTGCCGTTCGCACCTTCAGGCAGGTGTGTGTCCTGGGCCCTGAACTGCCCAGAGTGGGGGTCGGGGAGCCAGAGAAGCACCTCCATGCAGAGCTGCAGCCACATCCCAGCAGGAGCTGGAAGAGGCCCCAGGGTGCCCCCCTACTCCCACCCGGGGAAGTGGGGGCTGCGCTGTGTAACTCAAGTGCTCTCTGCGGTCTCCCTGTCAGTCCCTCTGGGTCCCAGTGCTGGGGCTGCCATGGGTGACACAGGAGCCCACCCTCCCTGCTGGGGCTCTCACAGCAGGTGTCTCAGTGACTTGGTGCACACAGGGGCCTGGAGGGGTCGGAGCAGAGGAGCCTGCTGGGTGGTGGAGCTCCCTGTTTGTCCTCTCTCAGGAAGCAGTGTTTCCCCGGTTCAGAGGAAGAGGGTGGGGCATCTGCCAGGGCAGTCGCTTTCCAGCATTGTGCTGGGGACGGCCGTGGGGGGAAGGTGGAGTTAGGCTGACCCCAGGATGGACCCGTGATGTCTCTGGCTGTGGCCACCCTAGGCCACAATTTCAGCAGCAGCTGGGGGGGAGGTGGCATCGGCGGCCCACAGGGCAGAGCCTCTGGCCTGTCGGTGCGGGAGGCCCACACGGGGGTGCCAGGAGGACAGCGGTGTCCCCAGGGCCTCTGAGAAGCACGGCTTCTGCCCCACTCACCCGGCCTAGAAATGAGAGCTGTCTGTGATCAGCCGGCCAGGGGCTCGGTGCTCAGGCCCTATTGGCGTAGGCCCCGGTCACGGCTGGGGCCTGCACTGACCTGTCCACTTCTGGCTGTCTGCCGTGTAGTGGAAAGGAGGTGTCGGAATCTCTTTTAAGTTGTTCAAATGTGACCACAGCCTCCCCAGCGTGAAGAACCCACCTAACGGGGCGGGGGGTGGGGGGGCAGAGAGCCGGAGCCTAGCTCAGCTCCTGCACCCCGCAGCGCTGGGAGAGAGCAGCCGGCTCCTACTCCCACCCCCAGCAGCTCGGGGGACCCCTGCCACCGGCTGCCCCCCCCACCAGGTGCTGCCTTTTTGGCTGGGAGGGTGGCGAGGGAATAAGGTGGGTCTCGATGCCTTGGGACTCTCGTGTGCCTCTCCTGCCACAGCCCCTCTGCCCCCGCCCATTCTTGCGGGGGTTGTGGGGCCCGGGGGTCACCGAGTGGAAACTATTCCTCAGAACAGCTCCCGGGCTCTCGTGTCCTCTGACCAGGCACTTTTCAGCCCATATTTGGTGGTGATCTGGCTGTGGGCAGCCGTCCAGGGTGAGCCGGCGGGAGGAAGCACAGCCCTCTCTGCTGTGGGAGGGGCCGCCTTCCTGCCCCCACCCAGTCTGAAAGGCCCTGAGGAGCGTGGCGGGGGTGGCTGCCCGATGCCTGGGAAGGGACTTTGGGCCCGGTTTTTCCTTTTCATCCCAAGAGAGCATTTCTCAGATGGTTGTGTGGACAGGGGAGGCTTCTACTGTTGTTTTGGGAAGACTCCCCGCCGAGGGGCCCTTGGAGGGGGGCACCTGGGGCTGTCAGGGACTCAGCTAAGGGCTCAGTGCTGCAAAGAAGCCGCCTAAACACAGGCTCTGCCCTCAGCGAGGATGGGCGAGGGCAGACCAGTCCCTGGAGGCCGCACTCTTGCCCAGGTGGCCCTGGGCTTGGAGACCAGAACTGTGTTCTGTGCACAGCAGCCTGAGAGCTGGGCGCCCGAGGGCTCATCCAGGAAAGGGCGTTTTCAGGGAGGGTGGGCCCGGGTAGGCCCCGGACATCTTCCTGGCCCAACTGTAGCGTCCTCCTGTCCTCAGAAGGCTTCTGTCCATTGACACCCTTCCTCTCTCCTCTCTCCAGGGTCGAGTTCCAGAATAAGTTCTACAGTGGGACTGGGTTCAAGTTCCTACCCTTCTCCTTCGAGCACATTCGGGAGGGGAAGTTTGAAGAATGAGCTGCTGGTGGGGCCCTGGGCCCCCCACCATGGTGATTGGTTGTGTTCCTTTTGCCTGTTGGTAGTGATCCCAAGCACCAGGTGTTTATGTCACCCCTGCCCCCAGCCCCCCAGCTGTCGTGAGCCATTTAGATAGAGCCAGATCCCCTGGCGCCCTGCCTTGCTTTGTCTGTGGTGTGACCTCCTGCAGAGAAGCTGGGCCCAGGACTTGCCCTCCCAGCCTCCCACAAGCCTTCAGGGCCGGCCTCCTCCTCCCTTCTCGCCCTAGATAAGAGGAGCGCCCATGCCCTCCTCATGGGGACCTTGAACCCTTGCTGCTGACACTGCAGGGTTGGAGGGGAGCATGGCACGTTCTCTACCAGAAGGGGGCGCTCTTTGTTTAGCATGCCCTACTCCAGTTAGCGGTGGTAGATCCGAGAAGCGGGTATTGTCCTTTGCCAGCCCTCTGCAGTACTTGTTAATCAGAACTTCAACTGGAGCCACCTGGGCCGTTGCCAGTGGCTTCTCCCCACCTTCCTACCCGCCCCCAGGAATGCACAGACAGCCCCTGGCGGGCTCAGCAGATGTCCTGGACGCTGCCCACAAGCACGCCCCTGGCAGAGGGTTCTTCAGGTGGAGACTTCTTCCTGGGGGAGACCCTGAGCCCTTCCCCACCCCTGATCATGTAGTCGAGGCTGGTTCTGCCTGCCGGCCTGCCTTGCCCAGTCCGCCAAGGCCCCCTCCGCTCTTCCCCGTGGACCTCAAGTCTTAGGGGTGGTGCCGGGGGTGGGGAAGGTCAACCCCATTTCCTGTTTGCTGGTGGGAGCCCTGGCAGGCCCAGCAAGGCGCCACCCCGTGAGTCCCGTCCTGGGCTGCAGACCCCCAGGCCTTCTAATCATATGCTGGCCTGGCAGCCCTGGCCGCACCCGCTGAATTCCTCCCCACCACCCTCAGTGGTCAAGGCAAGCGTTTCTGTGGGGCCACTTGGAGCTGCTCCCTCAACTCATGGCCGCTCTGCCCCAGCTTCGCGACTTGACCGAGACCTTGTGCGCAGCCGCCCCTCCCCTGCCCCCATTCCCATGACCTTTGCTCTGTTTACAGTGGGGTTGGGAGCTCTCAGTCAGGGAGCCCTGCCCAAGGCCCTTCTGTTCAGACATCCACGTGCTGAATAAAGTGTGTTTGACCCTCCCACGCAGGCCGCCTATCTCTGCCCACAGCCCACTTCACTCAGCCTGGCCCTCCTGAGCCCATGTGGGGCCGGGTCTCCTCGCCACCTCCTCCAGCACTGCTGCTAATCTCTGATCAAAGACCTAGGCGGCCATGGCCCTGGCTGGCAGTCAGTTTGTAAAATTCTTACCTTATCTCAGCTTTCCCAGAAGCCTTCCCACTCCCAGGCAGCAAGCAGCTTTGCAGACCCTACCCGTGGTGGTGAGTGGGGGTCGGGCCTTGTTCCCCTCCCCTCCCTCACTGCACGTCCCCACCGCCTGGGGGAGAGGGGCTCTGGGCATCTGCCCTCCCCCCTCCCTCTGCTCCAAGTATGCTCTCCTGGGCTCAGAGGCCTGGATATTTTGGGCCCTGCAGCCTTTGGCCTTGGTCTACAGGAGGCTGGGCGTGTGTTGTGTTCCTCAGAGCAGCAGGGGAACGTGAGGTGCTGAGGTGGACAGGCAGCAGGCCAGAGAGCCACCCGCCATCCCGGCAGGCGGGCAGGGCGAGGCATTCGTCTCCTTCCCTCATTCCTCCCTGCAGGGCCTCCAGGCAGGGGCTGCACAGGAATGCGCGGCTGGGCCGGCAGCTGGCGCCTTGCGAGGGCATGCGGGGAGCAGAACACCCTGTGCCTTTCACCCTCCCTGGCTCAGATCCCACCTCCTCCCCACAGCGCACCTGCCCCTGGAGCAGGCCCTGCGGGCTCCCCTGCCAGGCTCCTCAGAGGAGAGGTCTGGAGTGGAAAATCTGGTCCGTGAGCTCATTTAATGTCTCTGAATCAAAATAGGAGGCCTAATAAGAACATTTGGAATCGGTGAAATGACATTGAGAATCCAGGAATAGAGCCTAACATTTATGGTCAGTTTCCTTGTCCACAAGGGGTCAAGGTGACTCGACGAAGAACTGCTTTTTCAACAGATGCGACAGCTGGGCATCCATCACAAAGGAAAAGTTGTACCCCTGCCCCACACCGCCCCACGTGCACACCAGCTCCAGGTGGATTGCAGACCTAACGTGAGAGCAAAAATCCTGACGCTCCCGGGGCGAGTCGCAGGAGCACGTCTTCGTGACCTTAAGTTAGGCGGTGATGTTTTGAAAGGCAATCAACAGAAAGAGGGCTCTGTCCACCGGTTCATGCCGCATGTCGCCAAGCCAGGGCTGGGCCAGGGTGGAGCCAGGAGCCAGGCAGGACTCCAGCCTGATCTCCCGCGGGGATGGCAGGGATGTAACACCCAAAGCACAGGTGACGAGAGAGCTTCTAAGTAAGATACGTTAGCATTTAACAAAATGAAAGTTTTGTGTTTCAACAGAGTGCAGAAGCTGACAAGAGCCCTTACACAGGGGAGGAGACGAGGGTGCTTTAAAAAGTTCACGGGAACTGGAATTAAATGTTCCTGTGCATATTCTGTGATCTCCAGAAAGCCCCTTTGTATTTGCAGATTATACATCTGAAAGTGGCCTTGTATGTAGCCTTTGTTAATGACTCTCACAATCCAATAAGAGAGGTCATTTTTAAAAGTCAGTGTTTCTCGGCCGGCGCCGTGGCTCACTTGGCTAATCCTCCGCCTGTGGCACCAGCACCCCTGGGTTCTAGTCCTGGTTGGGACGCCAGGTAGTAGTCCCGGTTGTTCTTCTTCCAGTCCAGCTCTCTGCTGTGGCCAGGGAGTGCAGTGGAGGATGGCCCAAGTGCTTGGGCCCTGCACCCGCATGGGAGACCAGGAGGAAGCACCTGGCTCCTGGCTTCGGATCAGTGCAGCACCAGCCATAGCGGCCATTGTGGGAGTGAACCAACAGAAGGAAGACCTTTCTCTGTCTCTCACTGTCTATAATTCTCTCTCTCTCACTGTCTAAATCTGCCTGGCCAAAAAAAAAAAAAAGTTAGCGTTTCTCCAAATAAGTTGTATAAACCTGTGATAATATGCTCAACCTCATTGATCACTATTGAGATGCAAATCAAAACCTAACATCCCACATCCCAATCCACTAAGAGGCTACAATGAGAAAATTCCAAGTGTTGGCAGAGAGAAATTAGAACCCCAAACCCTGCTGCTGAAAATATAAAATGGGGCAGCTGCTTTCGAAAACAGCCTTGGATCTGATGTTGTGCATGTGAGTGCCTTTCGGAGTCCCGGCTGCTCCATTTCCATTCCAGCTCCCTGCTAGTGCACCTGGGAGAGCAGCAGAACATGGCCCAAGTGCTTGGGCCCCTGCACCCGGAGGAAGCTCCTGGCTTCAGATCAGCCCAGCTCCAGCCATTGCTGCCGTGTGGGGAGTGAACCAGCAAATGGAAGACCTCCCTCACTCTCCTCTCCGTGTATCTCTGCCTTTCAAATAAATAGTCTTTAAAAGGGGGGGGCATGCTACAACACAGTGAACCTCGAGCATTTTTATAAGTCAAAGAAGTGAGACACAAGATGACATAGTGCATGATTCCATTCATGTGAAATGGCCGAAACAGACAAGCCCAGAGAGGCAGAGGGTAGATGGGTGTGACCAGAGGCTGGGGCTGAATGGGGCTGGGGAGAGGGTTAAGGTGGGTGAGGCTGCCAACAGACATGGCATTTCCTTGGGAGATGAAAATGTGAAGTTGGACCGGTGACAGTTGAACAAGCTTGTGAATATGGGAAAAGCTGCTGGGCGTAAGCCTGCGGTAGGCATTTAGCCTGGCAGTTCAAGGCCAGTTAAGACGCCTGTGCCCTTATCAGAGTTCCCCAGGTCAGTGGCCAGGGCTTCACTCCCAGCTCCGGCTCCTGATGCTGGCTTCCCGCTGACGCAGACCCTGCGAGGCGCTGGCGATGGCCCCAGCCGCTGGGTCCTGCCATCCATGTGGAAGACCTGGACTAAACCTCCAGCTTCAGCTTTGCTCTGGTTGTAGAGGGCATCTCAACAGTGCGCCAGTGGACGGGAGCTCACACTCTCTTCTCGCAAATGAAACAAAATAAATAGGCCAACCTTATGCTATGCAATCGGGATAAAGTGGGGAGGAGGCGGCCTAGGGCTTCCTTAGGGAGAACTCTCTCCTTGGTGGCCGGAGCTGGGAAAGAAGCAGGGCTGGCTGAGCACTGATGGCCTTGGGCCGCGTCCAGCGCGGCCAGTTGGAGAGCCAAGGGTGTGTGGGAAGCCCTTGAGTCCTAGAGCGAGGAGCGGGAACAGGGCGGAGCTGCTGTGCCCCAGACATCTGTCCAGTGAGCGAGTCTGGGCTCCCGTCCAGGAATGCTTTCATCCTCAAGCCCAGAACCAGCGTGGGAGACAGTGGCCTAGAGTCCGCCATCCCTGGCAAGTCGCAGTCTCCCCAGAGACCCGGGGCTGGGGCACCTTCGCTGTGGGGTACTGCACTTCTCTCGGCCCCAGAGGAGAGAGGCGTGGAAGTGCAGAGCCTGCTGGCAGCCTGGGCCCCTCAGTTCAGGGAGTGACCTGCCGGCTTCCCCAGAGCATGTCCTTGGTGCGGGCTGCTCCCTGGTGGCCACACCGGGAAGGACTCCTCCTTCCTCAGGCAACGTGGGCTGGAAACTGGGTTGGGCTGGGGGATGCCCGGGGAGTGAGCCTGGGGCTGTTGTGTGTGTGTGGACAGAAGGACAGGCAGGACAGGAGCAGAGAGGTGAGAGATGGAGAGCAGGCAGAGCCCAGTCAACTTGGGTCACACACGTAATTGAAAAAATAGCAAAACGTGTCACTACCAGTTACCTATTATGAAGTCACGCCTTCCACCCCAGTGTCCCGGGACCCCTCCCAGGGCACCCACTGTTTACACAGTCTCCTTTTTATAACATAAACAGTAATGAACTATACTGCTTTGGCCTTTTTCTCTTATTAAAGATTTACTCATTTGAGAGCTTCGGGAGTAGAGAGAGGGAGTGACTGAGCGCGATCTATCTGCTGGTTCACTCCCCCAAAGGACCTTAACAACCCAGTCTGGGCCCGGCCAAAGCCAGGAGCCGGGAGCCCCGAGCACTCAG